TTGTGCCCCCGGCCCCCGGTTTGCAACATCAGCAGCTCCCGCCTGATACATCCTCACAATTCATTTCAAAATCGCGCTCTCCCGCGGGACTTCCTCACAATTCATGCATGACATGAATCTCGCTCTCGCGTGGGACTTCCCAATATTTTATTCAGACGCCGCGCACTCGACGTTCAGGAATCGCGCTCTCGCTTTGGCTGTTCTACTGATTCACTCGGGAATCGCGCTTTCGCCCGAGAACTCATCGCGATTCATGCAGGACTCACGCTTCAGCAACCCGCCTGCTCGACCTGGCCGCCTGGGTCCGCCTTTCCGACCCGCCCGTTAGGGTCTATTCAGCCGACCTGCCCGTCTGGTTTTGCCACGTGTTTTCTGCTCCTGGCCTCTCTCCTGCTAATTTCTCTAGTGCTCAATCCTTCTCCCTCCCCCTTCCATCCGTCCTCTCGTCCCCTGTTTTAGCGGCTTCGCTAAATGCACGTGGCAGGTAAGGAAGATGTTGCCCCCATGGGGTACGATCGAAGACGAACAATGCGGGTATCGAGGGTTTGGGGTATATGTATTGGATGGCACGCGAGCAGAGTGGAGCGAGCAGTCTTACAATGATTGGTGTTGTTGTTGTACCCCCCAAGGGGGTACGATCGGAGACGAAGATGGCGGGTACCGAAGGTTTGGGATATACGTGTTGCAAGGCACGTGAGCAGCTAAGAGCGAACAATCTTAACATGATTGGTGTTGTTGTCGTCGTCGTTGTGGTTGTTGTTGCTGCTGCTGCTGCTGTTGTTGTTGTGGTTGTTGTTGTTGTTGTTGTTGCTGTTGCTGTTTTGTTGTTGTGGTTGTTGTTGTTTGGAGTCACGTTTTCGCTCCGGCCTTCTTAGTTATTTCCTGGGGAATCGCGCTATCGTTCCAGACATCCTCGCGATGCATGCAGGGCTCACGCCTCAGCAGCTCGCTTGCTCGACCTGGTCGCGTGGGCCCGCCTGTCCGAACCTCCTGTCAGGGTCTACCCGCCCGATCTGCCCGTCTGCTTCTGCCACGTGTTTTCTGCTCCTGGCCCCCCATCCTGCTAATCTCTCTCGCGCTCCATCCTCATCCCTCCCTCTTGTCCCCTTTCTTTCATCCGCTCTCTCTTCCCCTGCCTTTGGAACTGCACGAGATACACGTTGCAGGTAAGAACGATCTATCCAAAGGGGGTACGATCGAAAACGAAGAGGGCGGTTACCGAGGGTTGGGGATATACGTGTCGAATGGCGCGCGAGCGTGTAAGAGCGAACAGTCTTCAACTGATTGTTCCTGCTGTTGTTGTTGTGGTTGTGGTTTCGTTGTCGTTGTTGTCGTTGTTGTCATTGTTGTTGAAGTTCCATGTCTACGTACTGATTGAGTCATCCTCCAGCCCGGTAACCATTGTGTTTTTTTCAATTGACGTGCTTCTCTTGGGGCTTGCACACGGTTTTTTACAAGGGACAGCGGGGGGGCACCAAATTTATGTATTACAACAACGACGGCTCCCGCCTGATACCTCTTCACAAGTTATTCCCAAATCGCGCTGTTGCGCGGGACCTCCTCACAATTTGTACAGGAGTCTCGCTCTCGTGTGGCACTTCTTTTCAATTTCTTCGGACGCCGCGTCTTCGACACTCAGGAATCATGCTCTCGCTGTGGATTTCCTCACGATTTCCTTCGGAGTCGCGCTATCGCTTGAGACTTCTGTCGATTCATGCAGGAATCACGCTTCACAATCCGCGTGCTCGACCTGGCTGCCTGGGACTGCCTTCCCGACCCGCCCGCTAGTGTCTGCCCGCTCGATCTGCCCGTCTGGTTCTCCCACGTGTTTTCTGCTCCTAGCCTTCCTCCTGCTAATTTCTTTCGTGCTCCATCCTTCTCCCTCCCCCCTCCATCCGTCCTTTTTTCCCTCGTTCTAGGGGCTGCACTAAATTCACGTGGCATGTCAAGAGACCTTACCCCCAGGGGGTATGATCGTAGACGAAGAACGCGGGCACCTAGGATTTCGGATATACGTGCTTAATGGCACGCGAGCAGATAGGAGCGAACAGTCTTAGCATGCTTGTTGTTGATCCCACACTCTAGAATAAGTATTGTTAATCTCCCCCCACCAGTACACATTCTATCTTTAAATTGAAGTGCCCCCCTCGGGTCTCGCACCAGGTTCTTTATCGGTGAAACGCTTCATGCTCAAACTGCGCCGCTGGCCCTCCGACTACAGCAACAACGGCTCCCGCCTGATACTTCCTCACAATTGATTCCCAAACCGCGCTCTCGCGCCTGGCTTCCTTACACTTTAATCGGGACTCGCGCTCTTGCGTGGGGCTTCCCCGCAATTTATTTAGACGCCGCGCCCTCGACATTTAGGAATCACGCTCTCGCTTTTGTGCTTCTCTATGGCTTTTATAGAATTCACGTGGCAGGTATGGAAGACGTACCCCAATGAGGTACCATCGAAAACGAAACGTGCGGGCATCGAGGGTTTGGAATACACGTGTTGAATGGCACGCGAGCAGATACGAGCGAACAGTCTCAACACGATTGTTCTTGTTGTTGTTGTTGTTGCTGCTGCTGTTGTTGTTGATGATGAACTCTCGCTACTGAAGAATAATTTGTGTTGATCCCCCCTTCCGGTGGCCATTGTTTTTTTTCAATTGAAGTGCTCCCCGGGGGCTCGCACCCTTGTTTATCAGGGAAAGTCACTAGGCTCAAACTGTGCCCGTGGCCCCTGGGTTACAATCACAACAGCTCCTGCCTGAGACCTCCTCATAATTTAGCCAGGACCCCCGCTCCCGCCAGAGGCTACCTTGCATTTAATCGCGCTCTCGCTAGGGAACCCTATTCAGGAATCCCTCACTCGGCGCTCTGGAGTCGCGCTCTCGCTGGAGACTTGCATGCAATGTACTCAAGAATCACGCTCTTGCGTTGGAATTCCCCGCAATTTCCTGAATCGCCGCGCTCCCGACACTCAGGCACCCTATAGGACTCCATCACAGCTTACTTAGGAATCGGGGTCTCGCTGCCCTTCGTGGCCCCGTTGCAGCCTTTCGTGGCCCCGTTGCAGCCCGTCGTTGTCCCGTTGCAGCCTTTCGTGGCCCCGTTGCAGCCCTTCGTGGCCCCGTTGCAGCCCTTCGTGACCCCCTCGCTGCCCTTCGGGGCCCCCTCGCTGCCCTTCGTGGCCCCCATCGCTGCCCTTCGTGGCCCCGTTGCAGCCCATCGTGGCCCCCTCGCTGCCCTTCGTTGCCCCGTTGCAGCCCTCCGTGGCCCCCTCGCTGCCCTTCGTGGCCCCGTTGCAGCCCTCCGTGGCCCCCTCGCTGCCCTTCGTGGCCCCGTTGCAGCCCTCCGTGGCCCCGTCGCTGCTCGTGGCCCCGTTGCAGCCCTTCGTGGCCCCCTCGCTGCCCTTCGGGGCCCCCTCGCTGCCCTTCGTTGCCCCTCGCTGCCCTTCGTGGCCCCGTTGCAGCCCATCGTGGCCCCTTCGCTGCCCTTCGTGGCCCCGTTGCAGCCTTCCGTGGCCCCCTCGCTGTCCTTCGTGGCCCCGTTGCAGCCCTTCGTGGCCCCCCTCGCTGCCCTTCGTGGCCCCGTTGCAGCCCATCGTGGCCCCTTCGCTGCTCGTGGCCCCGTTGCAGCCCTTCGTGGCCCCGTTGCAGCCCTTCGGGGCCCCCTCGCTGCCCTTCGTGGCCCCCTCGCTGCCCTTCGTGGCCCCGTTGCAGCCCTTCGTGGCCCCCTCGCTGCCCTTCGTGGCCCCGTTGCAGCCCTCCGTGGCCCAATCCTTGCCCTCTGCGGCCCAATATACGTATGCCCTTCGTGGTCCCCGCTCGTTCGCGCCCGCCGTGGCCCCACATGCATGCCCTTCGTGGCCCCGTCGCTGCCCTAAGTGGCCCCGTCGCTACACTCTGTGGCCCCGCATTATCTGCCCTTCGTGCCCTGCGCTCGTTCGCTCCCTTCGTGGCCCCATACGCATGCACTTCGTGGCCCCGCTGTCACCCGTCGTGGCCCCCTTCCTGCCCTTCGTAGCCCCGTTGTCGCTCTCGCTCTCGTTCTCGCTTTCGCTCGTCGTCGCCGTCGTCGTCGTCGTCGTCGTCGTCGTCATCGTCGCGGTCGGTCCCCTGTCTGTCCCTCTTGGGGTCGGGTTGCCGCCGATCAGCGTTGCCGCTGGCCAGGCCGACGGTCCGCGGCCACCCCGCCGCTTGCCGGGGCCCGGCCTCTGCAGGGAAGAACGATTTACCCCCAGAAGGGGTACGATCGAAGACGAAGAGGGTGGGTATCGAGGTTTCGGGAGCTACACGTTGAATGACACTCGCGCAGATAAGTGCGAACAGTCTTACCATAATTGGTGTTGTTGTTGCTGTGGATGTTGTCACTGCTGTTGTTGTTGTTGTTGTGGTTGTTGTGGTTGCTGTTGTGGTTGTTGTTGTTGTTGTTGTGGTTGTTGTCGTTGTTGTTGCTGTTGTTGCTGCTGTTATTGTTGTTGTTGTTCTTGGTTGCTTGCTTGCTGGTTTGTTTGTTGTGGTTGTTGACGCTGTCGTCGTTGTTGTTGTTGTTGTTGCTGCTGCCGCTGTTGTTGTTGTTGTTGCTGTTGAGTTTTGGTGTTTGTTGATTGTTGTAGGTTGTTTGTTGTTTGTTGTTTGTGTTTGTTGTCGTTGTTGTTGGTGGTGTTGTCGTTGTTGCTGCTGCTGATATTGTAGCGGTTGTTGTTGTTGTTGTTGGTGCTGGTGTTGTTGTTGTTGTTGTTGTTGTTGTTGTTGTTGTTGTTGCTGTTGTTGTTGTTGTTGTTGTTGTTGGATGCTCATCTCTCGGACCAAAGGGGGTGGTATGGGGTAGGGGGAGGGGGGCGGTTTCTTAGAATCACCCCTGCTTCTTAGAAGGCGCGGGCCTAGTCTATAGATGTAGGGCCAGCGCCTTCTGAGAATCAGCTTCTTCCTAAGAAGCCTTACCCCTCCCTCTACCCCCTTGTGCGGCGTCGCCAACCTTCTCCCGCGACATCAATGACGGCCAGCGAGGTGCGCGGTCCTCACGCCCTCTGCGTGTGGAGGTCGCTGCTGGGGCCCGTGGACCCCCAGGAGAGATTCCGCTTCCCTCGGGCGCGGGCAATTTGTAGCGGCAGCCAGGGGGGCGAGATGGCCAGGAATTGGGGGAGGGGATGGGAGGGGGAAAGGAGGAGAGGGGGAGAGGAGGAGGTGGGTGAGGGGGGAGGCGGAGGGGGGGAGGGGGAGAGGAAGGGGGGAGAGGGAGAGGAGGGGGGGAGGGAGAGAGGGAGGGGGAAAGGAGGAGGGGAAGGAGGGAGGGAGGAGGGGGAGAAGGGGGGGGAGGGTTTGAGGGAGTGGGTGGGGGGGGAGCAGGAGCAGCAACAGGAAGATGAACGATGGCTTGGGCCAGAGCGCTGTGGGCTGGAAGAGGCTCTGGCCAGCAAGGGCGCCCAATCAAGATGGGGAGGGGGTCGTCCTCCTGCACCCATTCTCCTAATACCGTACCCCCCTCGTCGCACCAACAAACGCGTCCGTGGGCTGTGCGGGGCGTCCCGCTTGAGACTTCCAGGCCACTTTTCACACTGAAGCTGGACAGCTCAAGCAGCTACACGGATGCTGTGATGGAGGGCCCGCCGTTTACCAAGTGCGGCATCTGTCTTATTGCCATGCACATCCTTCTCAAACAAATCAGCAGTTACAGTGAAGGGGGTCGGGTGATTCCTAGAAGGCGGCTCTCGCCCCAGCGCCGCGCACACCGGTCCTAAACAAATCCAGCAATTACATGGAGGGACCCAGGCTCGTTTTCGAAATGGGGCTCTCGCTCTGGCGCCGCGTATACGCGGCCTTAAACCATTCACATGTCTGTGGGACGGTTCCTTGCCAACACGTGGCTTCGTCTGTACCAGTTCCAGCATCTTGAGAACGACATCAAACGGTGTAACACTTGTACGGGTTTAGGGCGATTCATTCCCCATTAGGCTTGCTTGAGGGGTTCTTACTTGGTTAAAGGTTGGTGCCTCGGGGCCTTACTTTGCCCGTTCCCCAGGGATTCCTCGGGTTTCCCGGGTTCCCCGAGTTCCCCGGGTTCCCCTCCCCCAGGGCTTCTCATTCTTACGTTGCTCGTTTCTCGGATGTTCTTTAGGTTCCCCGGGTGCCTCGGGTTCCCCGCCCCCAGTGCCTCCTATTGTTACGTTGCCCGTTTCTCGGAGCCGGGTTCCTCGGGTTCGCTGGGTTCCTCGGTTGCCCCCGGTTGCCCCAAGCAATGCCAAGCAATGCCAATCAATGCCAAGGAAACCCAAGCAATGCCAAGCAATGCCAAGCAATGTTAAGCAACGCCAAGCGATGCCAAGCGCTGCGCCCAGCGATGCGCCCATGCAATGGGCTTTCCCCTCATTGAGGTCGCGCCGAGTTCAACTTTTTTACGGGGACCCGCTTGAGAGCCTCTGAACCATACGACAATACGTTTGACTTGGCGCAAGGCTTGCACGGATGGAGGACGGTTGCTTGTCGAAGTGGAGCTCTCGCTGAGCATTCCCTCGAGCCTGACCTGCCGTTCAACTTTTTACAGCTCTTGCAGCTACAGGGGTGAAGGGTGGACCCTTTGCATGACACATTCCGTGACTGTGCCCTGCCGCTGAGTGGCAGGCCCGCTGGGCATCCACCTGTCGAGTGGGGCGCTCAACGGCTGTGGACGGGAGCAGAGGCTGGGACGTGTAAGGAGGGGACTTCGGACGGGAGGGTGTGATGCATCTTTGGTTTCCTCTGGTCCTCCTCCTCCTCCTCCTCCTCCTCCTCCTCCATCTCTCCTCTCTGTCCATCTCCTTTTGTGCAGCTTCGTCCCCCTCCTCTTCCTCCTCCTCCTCCGCCTCCTCCTCCTCCCTCCATCTCCTCCTTCCCATCCTCTGCCTCCTCCTCCCCCCTCTGCTCCTCCGCCCTCTCTCCCCATCTCCTCCCCTTCCGCCTCGTCCTCCCGCCGCTCCCCTCCCCAAGGGGGGAGGGCGGAGATGACGTGGAGTGGAAGGAGGTGCGCGCTTTGCAGCCGGAGGCGAGCGGCACCCGCGCCGCGCTCCGCCCACGACGGTACAGAGCCGTTTTTTTTTATACATGCTCCGCGTGCGGATCATGTATTAAACATGCAGGGATTTAGTATAAAACACAACGATGCGTTCATGCATAAATTTACTCATACATTAATCATGTATTAACAAATCATATGTTTAAACATCCGATGTATTAAAAACTGCCCTGTACTTTCGGGGAACCCTGCGTTCGTGAGGGCTCTGGCCGAAGCATCGACCGATGCCCAGAATGTATACATTGGGGATGTTGTGGCCGGCGCTTCGGGGGAGCTGGCCGATCTCGGCCAGACCTGGGCCTCCGAAGAAGGCTCTGGGCCCTCGCGCGCCCGTCTCTGCACTCGCCCGGCGCCGGTGCGGATCGCCTCGGCCTCGCCGCCGACGGCGCTCCCGGCGCCGAGCGTCTGCTCCCGCGCGCGTGTCCTGTGATTTCACGGAGGCTCGTTTGTCGCAGGCTTGGTCGTCAGGGAGGAGGAGGAGGAGGAGGAGGAGGAGGAGGAGGAGGAGGAGGAGGAGGAGGAGGAGGAGGAGGAGGTGCAGGTGGGGCGGGAGGGTGGCCCGGGGGCGGTCGGGGACGTCTGGGGCTGCACGTCTCGAGAGGGCACGTCGTCGGACGGCGGCGCCCCCAAGGGCATCGACAGCCCAGCCGCCGGCAGGATTTCTGCACGCCCCGCGGCCCCCGAGGTGCCGCCCGGGAGGGGCTCTGATTTTCGGGCCGTTCCTCAGATCCAGGTCGCGGAACCCATGCGCGGCCAAGGCTCGCAGAGCCCCTCCGTTCCCTACTCAGCGTTCCTCATGGTAGCACGACGGCCGTATTCTTGGATGTGCCTGACGCTTGTGAGCTACAGGCTTGCTGGGGGATGTGGGTGCGTTGCGCTACCAGAACGGCCGCATCCGTCACCGTGCAAGCGCGGGCGCAGCAGAGACGTCCCAGCTGCCTTGTGGCTATCTCATCGTTGTCGGTGTGTTCTGGAGGCTATCGGATTAGCTGGGAGGGCCCCTCCGACATGCTCGGGAGCGCGCGTGCGCGCGTCGCGTGCTGGCCACTTGAAGAAGAAATCATGTCAGACAGCACCTGGGGACAAAGTGCAAGGGCAAGCCCAGACCCCTGACGCAGTGTTGTCTCGTTTTGCTGCTGTTCCCTAGCAACGTCTCACGCGAGAGGGCTTCCAGCGGAGGCACAAGGAAGAAAAAAAAACACACACAGAGGACCCACAAAGGGGGGGACGGGGAGCCCTAGGACGCAGTTCCTGGACGACCGTTTCGCCTGTAGACTTCCCCAGAAGTCAGTCAGGAGCCGTTGTTCCGCTCTCGTGCCAGCTGCAGGTCTGGTCCGGACGGCCACGATGCTGGGAAACAGTGCGCCAAGGCACGCACGGCCATGCCCGCGTCCTGGCTGCATCTTTCCTCGGAGTCCCTGGGGATGCTTTCACCAGCCGACCTCCTCCTACTCGACCCGCCTGTTTTTCAACTTCGTTGCTGTTAGGGTGCGTACTGTGCTGGGGTATGGTCACAATGTGGGCCCACAGGGGTCCCATCCCCATCCATGGGACTGCCTCCTCATCCCCAGTCGTCATCCGACGGGGCCCGGTCAGGCCCTCCAGGAAGCGAACAAAACTTAAAACAACTGTCGTCGCGATCTTGCACGAGGCGAGGGGATGTGGGCCTGGTGATCGAAACAGGACTTCGGCCCTGTCCGGGAGTACGTTCCGGCTGGAATGTCGACGGGGTCCCAGCCGAGGCGATGAGTTTTTTTGGAGGCCTCAGCCTTGGTGCCACAACCCAAAAACGCTTGCTCCTCCAAGTTCGATCTTCGATCCTCGACCCAGGAGCCGCAGCAGCAGGATGGGCACGTGGACCCGCCGCTCACGGGGGCGTGGAGTTAGACCGCCAAACAATGTGACATCTTCTTCGGGCGAACTTTTACCAGCCTGGAACATATCCCTATCCCTATGCTGGGCACCTCCTCATCACGATGCCAATCTTAGGGATTCCCTTTTTTTTTGAGGGCGAATTCCCAAGATTGTCATCGCCTTTTGGCGTGTCAATCTTAGGGATAGGGATACGTTCGAGGCTGTTAAAATTTGGTTTCCGAGACCAACATGAAGGAACATCATGTTGCCAGTGAGTGTGCCCCAGGCCAATTCATGTCCAATCTGTCTTCGGGGCGGGGGCCCAGATGGCCCCGAAGGGCGGGCCAGCTGGACCGACCCAGAAAATCCGGACCCCCGAAAGAAAAGGAAGGGAGCGGGAGGGGGAGACGAGCAGAGGCAGAGGCAGGACGGAAAGTAGGGGAACATCGCGTAGCTCGTGGAGCGGAGAGGCCCGTACAGCTGGCACGAGAGCTACGGAAGGACCCTAGCCTTAAGTCGGGCATGTCCCTGTACAGGAGGAAGGTTCAGGAATAGTCAAACATAGTCTGGCGACGAGTTCTCGTGCTCTCTTTCGACTATGTCTGACGATGCTCTGATTTTTGGTTACGTTTCTTACACAATCCGCCCGTAGGAGGACACGCCCGACCTTACCCTGGCCCTGGATTCACCGCCCACCAAAGCACCCCAACCCAACCCGAAGCCCCCAATCTGCCTCGGGGAACGTCGACAAAAACGCATCGGCATCCGTACCCCCCCAGCCCGAAATTCGGCTCGGATTCGGGCCCTCGGGTTGGGTTGGGGGTGGTCTGGCAGGCAGCCCTGGACGGGGCGCCCTCGTGTCGGCAACACCCCAACATACTTATACTATATGTGCGTCGCCCCCCCAGGGGCGACGCGCGCACCGGGAAATCTTATAGTATATGCGTCGTGGCGGGCGCTTTCTGGCCACACCGCTCGAGAAACGATATACTACAAGATGGGTGTACTATATGTTCGGGTCGGACGCGCGCCTCCAAGGCGGACACATAGTATTAGTATGTCTCTGTGCATCCCTCGTGCTCGGGCCTCCGTTCCCGGGGCCCGCCCGAGGGCGAGGGCAGGCCCGCGCAGTGGCTCGGGGCGGGGGAGGCCCCCTGCACGCGCTTCGGGCTCTCGTGCTCCTTGGCACGCCCGTGGGGCCCGTGGCCTTCGGCGAGGGGGCTCGCGTTCTGGACCCGCGCGCTCGCGGCCCGTGTTCCGGCCGTCGTCCTCCTCCTCCTCCTCCTCCTCCTCCTCCTCCTCTTCCTCCTCTTCCTCCTCGTGGTCTTCCTCCTCCTCCTCCTCCTCCTCCTCTTTCTTCTCCTCTTTCTTCTTCTCCTCCTATTCTTCTTCCTCCTCCTCCTCCATTCCTTTCCATTATGAATGACTTCTCCCTGTCGCACCCCGAGGCCGGTCGAAAGGGCGGGCCAGGCTTTTCGCGTGAGTTTCTTCACCATGTATGACCCTGAAGCTTAAGCTTTGACAGCAGTTTCACAGATGGAGGGCGGGCCGTTTTCAACACGTGGCTCTCGCCTTAGCGCCGCGCACATTCGTTTTAACCATTGAGGGCGGGTCGTTTTCAAAATGTGGCTCTCGCCTGAGCGCCGCACACATTTGTTTTACACATTTGCAACAGTTTCACGGATTGGGGGCGTTTCCTTTTCAAAAGGTGGCTCTCGCCTTAGTGCCGCGCACATTCCCTATTGCAAGAGCTTCACGGATTCCCAGGGTCAACGTACCAGAAATTGAGTTTTGAAACGATTCAGGATTATGAGGGTGCAGCATTCACGTTGATTCGCGGTGTTGAAGTCCCAGGAGTGGCGTTCTGGCACGATTCAGGATCGTCAAAACGCGAAAGTCAGGCTGATCCGTGGCGATGGCGTCCCGAGAATCATGTATTGTAGTGGCCTCTGGCCAGTGCCGCCGATCTGGGGCGCTCCGGATGATGATGATGATGATGATGATGATGATGATGATGATGATGATGATGATGATGATGATGATGATGATGATGATGATGTGATGGTGATGGTGATGGTGATGGTGATGGTGATGGTGATGGTGATGGTGATGGTGATGGTGATGATGCTGCTGCTGCTGCTGATGATGACGATGATGATGATGATGATGATGATGATGATGATGATGATGATGATGATGATGATGATGATGATGATGATGATGATGGTGGTGATGTGACGATGGTGATGGTGATGGTGATGGTGATGGAGATGGTGATGACCCCCCCCCCCACCCCCTCCTCTCTCCTGTCCCCCCTTCTCTCCTGTCCCCCCCCTCTCTCCTTTCCCCCCCCCCCTCTCTCCTGTCCTCCCCCCCCCTCCCCTCTCTCCTGTCCCCCCCCCCCCCGTCCCCCCCCTCTCCCTGTCTCCCCCCCCCCTCTCTCCTGTCCCCCCCCCTCTCTCCTTCCCCCCCCCCTCTCTCTCCTGTCTCCCCCCCTCCCTCCCTCCCTGTCCCCCCCCCCCTCCCCCCCCCCTCTCTCCTGTCCCCCGTCCCCCTCCCCTCTTTCCTTTCCCCTCCCCCCCCTCTCTCCTGTCCCCGTCCCCCCCCTCCCTCTCTCCTGTCCCCCCCCCTCTCCCCCCCCCTCTCTCCCCCTGCCCCCCCCCCCCTCTCTCCTGGGGGCTGGCAGTGGGGGGAGGTGCCGAGCACTGAATTCGTCAGTTAATTACGTCCCCCCCCCCCCCCCTCGCCCCCTCCCAAGCAAAGCTAAAGCTCATGCTGAAGCAGAGCTTCAGCTTAGACTTCTTAAACTCAAACGCCGGATCGGCGGACTTGCATGCTTCAGGGTCTTCGACCAGTTGTCTTCCGATGCGGCACTTCCCTCAAAGAAAATGAACCTTTGTAGGGGTCTATGAAGCGGGAAATTTGAGGAAGGGTTTGTTCCAACATCGGTGATGACTCTTGGGTTTACTCTGGTCTTCCTCCTCCTCCTCCTCCTCCTCATCCTCTTCCTCCTCTCCTATGCCACGTGCGCTCCTCCTCCTCCTCCTCCTCCTCCTCCTCCTCCTCCTCTCTTCTGCCCCGCCCAGTTGCCGCTCTTGACCCGCGTTCTTGTGGCCATGCTTCGACTGTACATTAGGCGTGTTTTCGTGGCATGCTTGAGAATTTCACCGACAGCTTTTTGGGGGGGCGTGGAGCGGCTACTGGCGGCAAACATATTGTGATTGGTGGGCGGTTGGCGCGGGGCGGGTGCCGCTTTCTGGCGCCTGATCGGTTGCCGCTGTTGGCCGCTACTTGCCACCACCAGCCGCGAAACCAGCGGCTGATGGCGGCACTCCGCTACCTGCCGCTGCTGGCCGCTATTCGCTGCTACCAGTCGCTCATCCGCCAACTTCTTGACACCACAATGCTTCCAAACGAACGTCATGTGCTTACACATTTGTTTAGTACGCGGGCGCCAAGTGGTCAATTATCTTGGTGAAGGGCCAAGCCATATGCAATTGTCAGTACCTCAAGGCAGGTGGTTCGAAGGAGGGGGAGCTCCTTGTGGGGCCCCGGGACGCGTGAGGGGTGTGCCGACATGAACAGGGAGGATAATGTGGACACCGCCGTGAGGCCTTCGGCGGAGCTCCCTGGGGGCAGGCCACGCAACGCGCGAGGGGCGTGCCGAAATGGGTCGGGGGAGATGTATGTTATCACAGCCACTGCGGCCTTCGGTGGAGCGCCTGGGAGCGCTTGTGGGAGTGCTTGGAGAGCGCATGGAACCGCTTGGGAGCGCTTTTCACCTCCCGAGACGGCATAGGAGCGCCTGGGAAAACTTGGGCGCGAAGGGAACCTGGGATCGCCTGGGAAACGCCGATCGCTTGTGAGCGCCTGGGATCGCCTGAGCGCTTGGGAGGCGCCTGGAAGCGCCTGGGGTGCGCTTGGGCAGCGCCTGGGCGGAGCCCGGGAGCGCTTGGGGGCGCTGGGGAGCGCCTGGGTGTGCTTGGGAGGGGCTGGGGGCACGTGGGAGCGCCTGTGCGCGACGGGGGGCTGCCGACGCAGGTGGTCACAGCCACTGGAGCCTTCGGTGGAGTTCCCCGTGGGGCCACGAAACGCCGTAGTGGATAGCGTGGGCGCAGGTGGTCACAGCCACTGGGGCGTGGAGCTCCCTATGTGAAAACACGAAGCGCTGTGTTTTCGTGCGCGGGCGCATGTGGTCACAGCCACTGGGGCCTTCGGTGGAGTTCCCTATGGGGCCACGAAGCGCTGTACTGGGTGGCGCGGGCGCATGTCGTCACAGCCACTGGGGCCTTCGGTGGAGCTCCCTATGAGGCCGCGAGCCGTTGTATTTTCGTGCGCTGACGCATGTGGTCGCAGCCACTGGGGCCTTCGGTGGAGCTCCCTCTTGGGCCACGAAGCGCTGTATTCTCGTGCACGGGGGCATATGGCCACTCGGTGGCGCGGACGCATGTGGTCACAGCCATTGGGCCCTTCGGTGGATCATGGGGCCACGAAGCGCCGTACTGGGTGGCGCGGGCGCATGTGGTCACAGCCTAGGGGGCCTTCGGTCGAGCTCCCTACGCGGCTACGAGACGCTGTGCTGGGTGGCGCGGGCGCATGTGGGGACAGCCACAGGGGCCTTCGGTGGAGCTCCATTTGGGGCCACGGAGCGCTGTACTCGGTGGCGCGGACGCATGTGGTTACAGCCATCGGGGCCTTCGGTGGAACTCCCATCTGGCCACGAAAAGCTGTATTCTCGTGCGCTGACGCATGTGGTCACAGCCACTGGGGCCTTCCGGCGAGTCCCCTATGGGGCCAAGAAGCGTCGTATTGTCGTACGCGGGCGCATGTAGTCACAGCCATTGGGGCTTTCGGTAGCTCCCTCTTGGGCCACGGAGAGCTGTAGTGGATGGCGCGGACGCATGTGGTCACAGCCATTGTTGCCTTCGGTGGAGCTCCCGATATGTGGGGCCACGAAGCGCGGTGCTCGGTGGCGCGGCCGCATGTGGTCGCAGCGGCGAGGGCCCTCGGTAGCCCATGGGGCCACTAACCGCTGTATTCGGTGCGGCGGACGCATGTGGTCACAGCCGCGGGGGCCCTCGGTGGAGCTACCTACGCGTTTACAAGACGCTGTACTGTGTGGCGCGGGCGCATGTGGTCACAACGATTCGGGCCTTCGGTGGAGCTCCCTAGATATGGGGCCACGAAGCGCTGTACTGGGTGGCGCACACGCATGTGGTCACAGCCATTGGGCCCTTCGGTGGAGTTCCCTATGGGGCCACGAAGCGCTGTACTGGGTGGCGCGGAAGCGTGTGGTCGCAGCCACGGAGGCCTTCGGTGGAGCTCCTTATGGTGCCACGACGCAGTGTACTGGGTGGCGCGGACGCATGTGGTCACAGCCATCGGGGCCTTTGGTGGAGCTCCCTACGGGTCACGAAACGCTGTACTGGGTGCGGAGGGCAGCGGCACGGATCGGAGGATGGGTCGGAGGGGCGAGGGGCGCTGTATCTTCAAAACCAGGGCTCGATACCACAGAATGACTGGGGAAAAACAGCCAAACGCTGGTCAGCAAGCGTTGGGGTGCACTGGGAGCGAATTGAGGCACGAAGGCGAAAGGATCAGAGCGCGAGGCGGGAAGTGGGAGGAACCCGCTCAGACCATGAAAGCCGATGTGGGGATGCAATTGAACTGGCATGCGAGCTGCGTGCGAGCGGCGGAGGCTGAGAAGAAGAGTGTTTCCCTATATCCCCTGGGCCATAACGCGCGTTAATGCCCCTTACCCTTCTCCCCCCCTCCCCCTCGTAAAGCAGCGCCCCCACCCTCAGTGCGTCCCCAGCGCTGCAGCAGTGCGTCTGGCACCACAGTCTGGGGGGGGGACGCTACGTTATGCCCCCTCCCGTCCCCCCCCCCGTCCCCCCCATGAGGAGGCCCTGAGGAGGAGGAGGAGGAGGAGGAGGAGGAGGAGGAGGAGGAGGAGGAGGAACGCCCGTCATTGCCGCATATGAAAAATGTGGTGCTCAAACATATACCTCGCACGCCCTGCCTGCGAATCCGCCGCCAGCTGGCCCGGCGCACGGACCCCGCGTCGCTCAACGCCCGCTTCGGCGGCGTCGGCCGCGGCGAGGCCCCGCGCTCTTCTCCGAGGGCGGTCGGCGCCTCGGCGACTACAAGTCGGAGGGAGGAGAAGCGACACCACCACCACCAGGGGGCCCACCTCCAGCGAGGAGGTCCACGATGCCTCCCCGAGCTGGAGGCTAGGTGTGTCTCGAGCGAGAGGGGGAGACCACAGCACCGGGGAAACCCCCCTTGCCTCCTCGCATCTCGTCGCCCTGATGGTGTCGGTGTCGCCTTGTTCCTATACCCGAACAAGAAAAACACCATAAACATGAACTTTTGGCGCTCCGCGCAGATTTCTTGCATCTGCGCTGGACCCCCTCCCTGGCGCGCGGAGCGCCAGAGGCGGCGCTGGTGGGCGCCGCCAGGGGGGCCCAGGCGCCAAAAGTTTATGTTTATGACGTTTTTTCTCCTTCGATAGACGAGGGGCGTGGTTACGCTGGGGTGTGGTGTGTGATCGGCGCCGTTGGAACCTGGTGGGGACGCTGTCCTCGTCGGGCCTCCTCGGGACGTGGCGGGGAGCTCTGTCGAGGTGGGTGACCCCCGGGTGCCGCTTGCAAACCACAACCTTCGCAAACCACACCCTTCGGAGTCGCCGACTCCATCGGGGGCTTCCCAGAGGGGTGTGAGGACTTACGGTCGGGAACTTTCGGACAGCGTGTCTCCGAGGAGGAAAACGTGTCGATGCCGCTACTTACCCTCCCCTCGTTTTCGCCCCTTCGGACCTGACCTCCTGGGAGGTCCTCGTCGCCACCGCGAGACTCGCCTGGAACTTCTGCTCAGAACGCATTCGGGGAGAGGTCTGTCAGGAGGGGAACAAAAACACACAGACACAATTCATCGACGACTGCCCAGAAATTCCGGGAAAGTGGGAAGCGGGGGGGGAAGACAAACACCCAGATTATATGGGAACATCTGGGGGATCTTCTTATTTGTGTGTGCGTTTATCTGTGTGTCCTGGGGCCCCTTCAGTCTGGGGAGCAGCAGCATCGAGACCTCGTGCCCTCCCCAGGGTCCCTGCGCCGGTGCAGGGCGCGCCGCGCCGTCAATTTTTTCCGGGCTCCCGGGCGTCAGCATGCCGGGCTCTTCCGGGCGTCCCGTCCAGCGGAGCGGGGCGACGCGCGATACGCTCGCGAGGCTCAGGTCGGGCCTGCCCCCCCTTGCAAGGGAATCTTCGACGGAAGATAAAAAAGATGCCCCAAGAAATAATCAAACCATAGGCCAAAAATAGTCAGGGGACTATGTTTTGATATATTTTTTCGCATTTTTAGGGGCATGTTTGGTGTATTTTTTATTTTTCGTCGAAAATCCCCCTGTAGGGGGACACGCCCGACATAACGCAAGGCATAGCGCGTCGCCAGGGCCGCTGTAGCGACACGCTGCGCAAACGTCTCCGACAGCAGGGGTGTGTGTGTGTGTGTGTGTGTTGTGTTGTGTTGTGTTGTGTTGTGTTGTGCTGTGCTGTGCTGTGCTGTGCTGTGCTGTGCTGTGCTGTGCTGTGCTGTGCTGTGCTGTGCTGTGCTGTGCTGTGTTGTGTTGTGTTGTGTTGTGTTGTGTTGTGTTGTGTTGTGTTGTGTTGTGTTGTGTTGTGTGTGTGTTGTGTGTGTGTTGTGTGTGTTGTGTGTGTGTGTTGTGTGTGTGTGTGTGTGTGTGTGTGTGTGTGTGTGTGTGTGTGTGTGTGTGTGTGTGTGTGTGGGGGGTCGCATGGCCAGGACCATGACATCATGGCCGGGGCCGGGATGTCACGGTGTGGCCAGGCCTCGTGGCCATCCTGCTGCTGCTCTCCTGTCGGTGTTACGCTTTTCTTTCGGCACGTTCCCCGGTCCCCCCTTGCCCGCGGACCTGCCTCGGGCCGTGATACGCCGACCCCCCCCTCTTCCTGTCGTCTTTTCCGGCATGCCCGATCCACGGGCACGAAGAAGACCTTGACCTCCGAAGACGTGTTTTGTTTCTAGTGTTTTTTCTCTTGATTCTAACGCTTTGTGCACCCCCACCAATCCATCCAGAAATGACGCCCAGAGGTGTCGTCCGGAGGATGGGTGCAGGCAAGGATTCTGTGAAGAAGGAAGGCCAACAGTGATGAACTTCGACATCGGGGAGCCTCGTAGAGCCATCTTCGAGCCATGTCGAAAGCCTTTTGAGCTCTCTTGGGGCTTTGGGGCCCTCTTGTGGCTCTCGTGTGCCGTCGATCGTATTGGCGGCATCTGGGGCCTTCGGAAGTCATCGATCACAGAAGGGGGGTACGCAATTACGCTTTCCCCCCGTCGGAGCCGAGTCATCGCCTCTTTTGTCAACATAATGCGCCTTGTCGCCCTGTCGCTTCCGATGGGCTTCTGAAGCCTCTAGGTGACTCCAAGATGGCCCAAGAGAGCCCCATGGGGGGCTCAAGGGGAACCCACGACGGCCCCAAAGGCGCCCAAGAGCACCCCAAGAGCGCAACAATAGGGACCCTTCCATATGCGGGCGTGAGTCTCGCAAGCAGGTGGGACGAAGGAGGGAGAGCTCCCTGAAGCGTGTGATCGGGGTATACCGAAATGGACGTGGGCACGCATGCGGACTTTCCCGCTGGGGCCTTCGGTGGAGCCCCCTTCTGGAGCCACGAAGCGTGTGCGGGGTGTGTGCCGATATCAACGGGGACCCTCCCTGTGCGGTCGCGCCCACTGAGACCGTAGGTGGAGCTTCCTTGGGGTCACGGAGCGTAAGAGAGGAGTGCCAGCATGAGCGGCGGCCTCCCGTGCAGGGGGGCTCCCGACACGGCGCGACACGCGTCGGATGTGTGCCGAAATGCGCGGGGGCTCCCCATGCTGTTGCGCCCACTGAGGCCATAGGTGGAGCTCCCCATGGGGCCGCGAAATGCGTCAGGTGTGTGCCGAAATGAGCGGGCCCCCCCCCAGGCGGTTGTGCCCATCGCGACCGTCGGTGGAGCTCCCTATGGGCCTCTGGAGTCACGAAACGTGAGTGGGCGTGTGACGAAATTTGCGGGGACCCTCCCCATGCGGTCGCGCCTGCTGAGACCGTAGGCGGAGCTCCCCGTGGGACCACGAAGCGTATGAGGGGTGTGCCACAATGAGCGGGGATCCCCGTTGCGGTCGCGCCCACTGGGACCTCAGGTCGAGCTGCGTGAAAGGGGAGTGAAAGGGATGTGCCTGCATGCGTATGATGATGCACGATGGTAGCGACGAGGACATGCGTAGGACAGATGCAGGGATGGGGGTAAGAAGAGGGATGGGGGTGGCTGGAGGAGGCAGACGCGGGGTGTTGCGGATTCAAAACGCGCGCCCAGCACCACAGGATGGTCGGGAAACGCATTGGCCAGTTTACGGTGCTTGTCGAAGTTGGCATCCTAGGGGGCGTCCTGGGGAGGATCCGTGGCCACTGGGAAAGCCATCTTGGGCTGGTCTTGAAGCCTTTTGGGAGGCATATTGGAGACCATTTTGAGAAGTCCTGGGCCATTGTGAAGGCCATCTTGGGCTATTTGAGGCCATCTTGGAGCCACCCTGGACGCTCTAGCTCGTCGCGACCCCCCCTTGCCAGAGCCAGGTTTTGTTTGGGGATTGCGACGCTGGTTGTGCTGGGAGCCTGTCAGCAGAGGCCGGCACGCAACTCGCAGAACATTAGTGCACTTAAACACTTTTGTTGGGGCGCCACCGTTGACAGTACAGTGCAGCAGTAAGTTGAAGGCGCAGAGCGGGTCAAGGCAGTCTAGCAAGTTGCCGAATAAGATGTCAGAGAATTTTCTGCTGTCGTTCATTGTACCCGAGTGGGACCGTTATCTTCGGCCTGAGCATAGCACGAACGAGACGAGGGCGTAAGCCAGGCAGCTATTTGTGAGCTAGATGAGGGGTAGAGAAGTCCAACGCTAAGCACTGGCGTCTAGCAGTCTTTTGCTTTGATGGACGGGATACGATCGTGGCAGAGAGACAAACAGCATGAACGGTCCTGGCATGCCTCTTGAACCTGTCCCAGCCCCATAGCAGCCACCGACTGTCCCAGGCACAGACAACGTAGACATCAGATCGCTAAACTTCCCTAACACTTCAGGTCCTCAGGGGAGTGGGCGGCGCACCCCGCACTCGCCCTCCCACCACAGACGTAGCACCCGAGTCGCAGCAGCATAGGCATTGTCCGCCATCGGCAACTATTGGGAACCAACGCGAACGCCAGCGAGGTGTGCGACCCCAGCACGGTGCGCCTCGCGTGCCAGGGCATTCCCATGGTTCCCGTCGAATAACAATGCAAAAGTATCGCGGGGCGCCTGTGCATGGTCCAAGATGTGGCCGCAACGTGTGCTTTGCACAGGCTTTTGACTGGGATGGTGGACCTGCGCACGAGGGACAATACGGTGTCCCCCGTCCCTGACAACCAAAGCAATGTAAAGTGATCGCAGGGCGCCCGAGTATGATACAGCATGGGTCGCAGCAGTGCACTCTGCCTGCTCTTTTGCTGGGATGGTGGTGGGATTTGGCGTTGGCCCTGATTTGTGGCCGGTAGAGTGGGGGATGCGGTGTATATCAACAGGGAGCACCGATACGCCCCTACCCTACGGGGAAGAACGTGGTTGGAGTTATGAATTTCCGGAACAACCTATGTCCTTAAGGGCTGGTTGCATTTCGTTTTTTTTGTTGGAGCCGTTGTCGGTCCCCAGGGCAATCCAACATTACCGTGAGTCGAAAGATTGCCTTCGGTGAAGCTGTCCTCGACTCGAGGATTCGCCCCCGACTCCAAGGGTCGCCCCCCCCCACCCCGTTGGAGGAAGTAGGATTTGATTCGAGGATCGAGGTTCGGTCTCGGTTTTGTTTCCTCCTCCTCGAGCGCCTTCGTCGCTGCGGCTGGCTTTCCTTCATATTTTTGGTCAGAACGCACCCCACGACATGTACATTTCTTTACATATTAATACAATAAAAGGGCCGCCACAAAGACAGAGGGGTCTCGCAGGCAAGGGGTTCTGCGAGTTTGCAAGTTTTCATTCCCCAATCAGTTCTTGCACTGAAGGGGTCCTAGCGGAGGTTGAAGGATTTGGCGAAAGTTTCCCGCCGATTTTGGTCGCACGCTGGGTTCCTGGGTTCCCAGTTCCGGGTTCCCGGGTTCCGGTTCCCGGGCCGATTTCGGTTGGCGGCGAGGTTCCCAGGCTCCCGGGCTCTTGGTCGATCTTCTTATCGATCGGTCTCAGCATCGATCTCATTTCCCGCTTCTCTATCGATCTCACAATCGATCTCACAATCGATCTCACAATCGATCTCGCAAGCGATCTCCTTAGAGATCACACGAGCGATCTCGCGATCGATCTCCTCATCGATCTCATTGAATCGATTTCACTCTCGGTCTCACGATCGACCTTACAATCGTCCTCTATCGATTCCACTATCGATCTCATTATCGATGTCACAATCGATCTCAAGATCCATGCGACTAATTCTCAAATCGTCCACTGATCGGGGTTCTCTCAGGTGTAATCGTTTTCCAGCTCCTGGGGCCCCTCACAGGCTCCATGGCCCTGGCAAGAACGACTCTGGATGAGAAGCTGGCTCCAGGGCAAGCCCTGGGGTGCAGGACCCGCCTCCACCAGTCGGCGGCGAGCGAGGGGGGGGGGCAGTGAGGAGGAGAAGGCCTCCTCAGAAGGCGGCGAGGCTGCTCAGAAACCCGCGTGCCTTCTCTCCCTTCTCCTCGGTCTTCCCCCCCTCTGGGTGCGCATTACCGAATGTGCAGCCTGCGTGGATGCCGGCGTCCACGAGTTCAACTCTCCAGCTATTTGTTGCCGTGACGAAAGGTCACCGGTGCCATCGGAGGTCATTAGAGTGCTCGCTCGCGTGGTGATTCTTGGAGTTTGGGTTCTCTGGCGCAGGGGATAAAAGCCCGCGTGCCTCCTGAGGGGTTCTCCGTGCCTTCGGGCAAGACTCGGAAAACTTCTCAGAAGGCTGGGCAACTTCAGAGCGTTCCGAGAGAGGTCTTCTCCTTCTCACTGCCCCCCCCGCTCGCTCGCCGCCGATGCATGGTCGGGAACCTTGAGACGGGGCTCAGTGCAAACGGGGTCAGCCAGAGCGTCGGATCTTGCAGGATCCTGCAGAGCCAGGGTTCTTGGCCTCCCAGATGGGACTGGAGAAGAGGGGGTCGGAGGATCGCGCCGCATCGCCGATGCATCGCCGATGCGGCTCGACGTGGAGCCCGACTTGCTTCATGTCGACATCGCCGATGCATCGCCCACGTCGACGATGCATCGCCAGTGCACGGCCGATGCATCGCCGATGCGTCGCCGATGTATCTGCGATGCGGCTCTAAGGGTTGCATTGACCTGGGCTACAGTCGACCCGCATGGGCAGGATGGGCAACCTTTCCAAGAGTACCCTTGCATCCTTCCTTCCTCGAACCATCCGTGGTCACTTTCGTTGGCCGCGCCCCGCTCGAAAAACTTCGAAACGGCCTGTCAAGGCCCTTGCATCCTTATCGCGCATCCTTCTGATACGGGCCGACTGTACCAGCCTGGAACATGTCCCTACCCCTATGATTGGCATCGCTTCTTCTCGATGCCGATCTTGAGGATTTCCGTAAGTTTCGAGGGCGCATCCCTAAGGCTGGCATCGCCCCGTGGCCTATACATCTTAGGGATCGGGGTCAGTTCGAATCGTGTGGGGCTGGGGCCAAAAGGAGGGTTGCGCGAGCTCTGCTGCGTGGGCCCCAGATCCCCGCGGATTTGGGCGCTCTCCTCGGTGCACCCAGGTGCCTCTCGGGTGCGGGGAGGCGCAGTGGAAGCCAGCTGCGGGAGCTGATCGGGGTTCCAGAGACGGGGGTCAATGCAAACGGGGGTCAGTCAGAGCGCTGGATCTTTCGAAGAGGAACAACATGCCACAGACGCAAACTTTTCGCGCTCCGCGCGGATTTCTTGATCCGTCCTGGGCCCCCCCTGGCGGCGCCTCCGGCGCCGCCCCTGGCGCGCTCCGCGCGCCAGAGAGGATGGTCCAGCGCAGATCCAAGAAATTCGCGCGGAGCGCCAAGAGTTTGTGCTCATGCCGCATTTGATCCTTCTATGGTCGGGGTTCAACAGACTGGGGTCAATGCAAACGGAGGTCAGTCAGAGCCCCGGATCTTGCAGGATCCTACAATTCCCAGGGGTGCATTGAACTGGGTTAACGGCCACATAAGCTAGCAGGACCCCGCATGATCTTGCAGGATCCTGCGAATAGCCCGATTGCCCCGGGCTTGGACTGACCCGGTTGCTTGACTTGAGAGCTCAGGGGAGAAGATTGTAAGCATTGTCTTCCTGAGATCCCATCGCCTTTGGCATTTCAATCAAGCAGTGGCGAGGCGTCCTGGCTGGCCTATGGGACAACCAAGGAATGTTCTAGGAACGTTGTGTGGTTTGCACGAAATGTTCATGTTCTTACACACTTCTGGCTGAGACCGTCGTGGCCTACAGTCAACCCGCATAATAAGGATGGGCAACCTGCCCAAGGGTACCTTTACATCCTTGCCCCTTCGGCCCATCCGTGGCCACTTTCGCTGGCCAACCTCGTTCGAGAAGCGTTCACATGGGCTTTCCAAGGCCCTTGCATCCTTACCGCGGCTCCTTCTGATACGGGTTGACTGTAACACATCGGGCTCGTGTTCTAAGAACACTGCTGCTGTTCTTAGAATATTCGCGAAATCGTGAAATCTAGGATCATCCATTTGTAGGACCATCATAACTCCAGGACGGTCGGCCCTCGCTCAACTCAAGGCCAGGAGAGGGGGGTGGCAAAGCGAGGCAGCTTGGTAGGCACGATGTTCTGCAGCTTGCTCGTCTGAATTGCTCCCCTCTTGAGTGTACTTATCTCTGGCCGGAATACTTTCACGGAGTTCGCCGCCAAAATTCCCATCGTCTTTGTGCTCTTCGCGCCCAGGAGGGGGAGCATTCGAGACTTTTGGCAAAAAGAAGCGTTACGTATCTTCCGCCTGCTGGTAACCGTGTTTGTGAAGCCATTCCGAGAGGAAACGAATCCGCGCTTGTGCGCGTGACGGGCATGCGCGCTTCTGATCTTCATGCGGCGCTGCGTACTAAAAGGAATCCCTTCCTCAAGGGTCGCAAACATAATCGGCGGCACAGCGTGAAAAGCCTCCATCATAAACGTGGTTGCGTGAGCCACCACTACCTCGAGGTCCGATGGGCAGGTGCACCTTTGGCAGGTCGGAGGAGGAGGAGGAGGAGGACGAGGAGGAGGAGGAGGAGGAGGAGGAGGATGAAGTTCTCTCGCCCTCTCTCCCTGTGTATCATCCTTCCCTCTCGATGCCTTTGTTTCTCACTCTTTGTCTGCATTTCTGTCTGTCTGCCTGTCCGTCTCTCTCTTTCTCTCTCTCTCTTTCTTGCATTCCCTCTCAATATACCTCTCTCTTTATCTCTCTCTCTCTCTCTCTTGAATCATCTTTCTCTCTGTGTCACCTGTGAAATGGCAGACTCTTTCCATCGGTTGCAGACTCGAGTAAAATCAGTCTTGCGGAGGCAGTGGCTTTCACACCACCTTCGTCCTCTTCCAGAGCCCTGGTCGACGTGATCTGGGGCTTTGGAGGTCGTGTTGACGCAGGGTCTCCTGCACTGCCGACAAGGCCAGCGCACGCGATCTTCCTTGCGCAGCCAAGGCTCCGTGGGCCCTCAAATTTGATGATCAGGGGGGGGGAGGGACGTAGTCTCAGAGGGTGGATGGGGTGAGGGAGAGGAGGAGGAGGTCGGGCGGGACTGGGACAAGGATGAATCCGTTCCAGAGCGTTCCAGAACGCTCTCAGAGCGTCTCGAAACGCTCTGAGAAGGCTGGAGTGCCCGATGCATCTTCCAGAGCCCCCGGATCTCAGAGATTCTTGGTTTATCTTCTTCCGACTTTGTTCTCGTCCTGGCTTCATCTTACGAGGAGGTTCAGGCAGCTCCAGGGTGGGCTGCGCGGGCTCTTCCTTGACTTTCCAGCCTGGTGTGCCTGCGCACGACTCGCTTCCGTGACGTGCGAGTGTGTGGAAGGGGGCGGATGTGTGGGAGGAGGAATGGAGGATCAGTATCGTTCAACCGACCCTTGGGTGCCAATACGAGTATGCATCGTTCTTGAGTGTTCGTCTGTCGACCCGACCGAAACCGGAGAGCAGGCGTACCCCTCGGGTCCCTAGGCCCATCCAAGCTGTGCCTACCCCTAGGCTTACCCCGCCCGAGGGCCTGCCCTGGGGCCCCTAGGGCCTACCCCTAGGCCTACCCTAGGCCTGCCCCAAGGGTCTACCCATTGCCTAGCCTAGGCTAGGCTGATCCTCAGGGCCTACCCGTAGGCCAACCCTCCGCCTCCCCCTAGAGAATACTCCTAGGCCTGCCCCCAGGGCCTGCCCCCGGGGCCTGCCCCTAGGCCTACCCTATAGGCCTACCCCCTGGACCCTAGGCTGGGGGTTCTTCAGGCTACCCTAAGGCCCAGGGCCTAGGGTAGGGCCTAGTCTAGCCTAGGCCCTCGGGGCTCCGTATCTCTGAGGAGGCCGCGGCGCCCGATGCATCCTCCAGAGCCGCCGCATCTCGGAGATCCCGGAATCATCCCTGTCCGATGTTGCGTCTGTCCTGGCCTCGCCCTGACGCGTGCGCGGGCGCTGGCCGCCTCCGGGGCAGCTCGTCCGACGGCGCAGGCGTGGGATTCCGATGCTTCCTCGAGGGCGCTTGCGGCGGGCGCCCGTTTCGCCGAGGTCGCCCGCGCGGAGGCGCCGGGGCGCGGAGTGGGGAGTCGAGGCGTGGACCTCTTGGACGTGGCCATCGTCATCGTACTTGTGTGCGTGTCTTGGGCATGGGTAGGGGGCCAGATGCGAACCCTACCCCATACCCCCCCCCGATTTTTTAAGGGGAGGGTGGGGTTCCCTTCGCTCGTGAGCTCCCGAACGACGTGAACCCGACCCTCCCCTCCAGAAATCGTGGATAGACCTATTAAGGAATTGGCCGGTTTCGGTTCGCGAGAGGGCGTCGCGGCCGTCTTTTTTGCGGGTCCAGGTCCGTCGGTTTCGGTCTCAGGCCGTTTTCGCTCAGGTGAGGTTTACTAAAGGGAGGTTTGTCCACCGCCGAGTACTTGTATGCGTGTCTTGGGCATGGGCATCCTGCCTCAGTTCAGTGCGTAAAAGGGTGGTGAAGGTATGGCGGATCTCATGGACTGCCAGAGGGTCCCAGGGTCCCCGTCGTGACCTGCAACTGCTGGGCTCGGCAAGCCCGCGATTGGCTCCCTGCTGGGTGCAGCGCCCGCGGGCGCCCTCCGACAAGATGGGCCGACCAACTTCCGCTGAGCCCCTGCGGCATGCAGCCGCGCACCCGCACGGCTCGAGCTCGGCGCTCGCTCGCTCGCTCGCCCAAGGACGTACTCGCTGGAGCTGTCCGGCCAGCTGTCCTTCGGCGCCGCGGGGTCGGTGCTCAGCGGGATGCTGTTCCGCATGGGCCCTCGGGAGGGGGGAGGCGCGGGCTCCCTCAGGCCGCCTTCTCACCTGGGCCCAGAGCAGATGCGGCCGAATCGCCGATGCAGGAGGGGGGAGGAAGAAGGAGGGAGGGTGGCGAGGGAGGGAAGGACGGATGAAGGACGGAGGAGGGGCAGGAGGAGGAGAAGGAGGAGGAGGAGGAGGAGGAGGGAGGAGGAGGAGGAGGGGGAGGAGGAGGGAGGATGAGGAGGAGGAGCAGGAGGAGGAGGAGCAGGATGAGGAGGAGGAGGAGGAGGAGGAGGAGGAGGGGGAGGATGAGGAGGGAAAGAAAGAAGATGCTGATGCTGATGCTGATGATGCTTGTGATGATGATGCTGATGATGATGATGCTGCTGATGATGATGACGATGATGATGATGATGCTGCTGATGATGATGATGGCGATGATGATGATGCTGATGATGATGATGATGATGATGATACTGATGCTGCTGATGATGATGAAGGTGATGAAGATGATGATGCTGATGATGATGATGCTGATGATGATCATGATGATGATGAGGAGGAGGAGCTGCAGGCTCGGTATGGTGCGTGAGAGAATGTGATGAAGCCAAGCCAGGCCCACCCCATGACCCTCGCCCCCAGGCGGGGACCAGGGTGGAGGAGGGGAAAGCACAACCAGGCCCACACCACCACCCTTCTCGCAATGAGTGGCTGGGGTGGAAACGCGGGCGCTCTCCAGGAAGCGGCCGCCCCGAGGCAGTGGTGGCAGAAGCTGGCTACAAGATGTCATCAGCTGTAAGTCAAGCATGTCATGGCCTCAAGATGCCATGGCAAACGGAACGCCGTGTCCGTACCATGTTCAGTGCCTTTGCAGGTCTACACACCTCCTGCTGTGCGTATGTATTCGGTCCTCTCCGCTTCGCGGACATCACGAGGAGCAGAAGGGACGTGGAGGAACTGCAACTGCTGGAGGGGCGAGATAGCGACGTGGAAGACAGCTACGACGACAGCGCTAGGGACGACGACTTGCACGAATTTGTTGTGCAGGCCGATGCTGCGGCCGTGGCCTCCTGGCTACAGGTAGTGCCACACACACAAAGCCCGGACCCAGTCCGTGTCCGACGCCTGCCTCTTGGAGGCCATGCATGGACACCGAACCATCGTCCAGCTGCCCATCGCCGATATCAGAAGTCAAAGAAAACTCCGTCAGGCTTTGTTTCAAATGGGTGCGTGCATCAAGAGAAGACGAACGACGTGAGCGGATGCAGCTTCGGTGCGGCGGGGAGCAAAGGGCCGGCAGTGGCAGCGGGCAGTGGCGGCGTGGGCGGCAGTGGCGGCATGGGCACCGATAAGCACGGGCCTGGCGTCACCAGCTATGCGGGAGGTGACGCGAAGCGAAAACCCGACGCCATCGGCTATCAGCGCGGTGGCGCGAAGCACAAGCCCGACGTCGTCAGCTACGTGGGCGAGTGCGGGAGCTCCTCAGAGGAGGCCAGAGCGACCGCGGCTAGACAGGCCATCGAGGACACGCACGCCATGTATTGCCCCCTCGAGCAGGTCGACGAGGAGATGGGCTACACCACCACCAGCCAGCTGGATCACAACGGTGACATGCGTGCGCGCTGGGAATGGGCCCGGTGCCTTGGGCCGAGGTGCGACGAAGAGAACGGCAGTGGAAGCTCGAAAAGGGACGGCAGTGGCAGCTCAGGGGCATTTGTTGCTGGTACACCGTGCGAGAGGGGACGGCAGTGGCAACTCGGCTATGAGAGAAGGGACGGCATGGGCAGCAGTGGTGCTGTGAGAGAGGGGGCGGCAGGGGCTGGGCTGTACGAGGGTCATCATGAGCTCGAAGAGGGCGACGAGGAGCCCGAGGAGGAGAGCTATGAGTCGGATGGGGACGGCGAAAAGGCACTGGACGAGACGGAGGAAGAGGAGGAGACTTCGAACACGTCATCAGCTACAGACGAGGACAAGTCGGTCTACATAGGAAACCTCGATTGCGACCTGGACTGACGCATCCTCAAATGCAATTTGAAACAAGCGGGCACCGTGCACTATCTACTGCAAATTGCACACCGAGGGCGGCACTTACAACGGCAGGTCATTCGGGCACGGGCGCGTGTGCTGTTCCTCCAGCGAGGAGGTCAGAGAGGCCATTGCCACCTTCGACGAGACGGAACTCGTGGGCCGATTGACCCGGGTCAGGCGTCGGAGAAGGTAGTGCAAGTCGCTGTTGTGAAAGACTGCGCCGGCACCAGGATCTACATCGTCAGCTACACACCGACCACCGCGTGCGAGAAGAAGTTCAGAGCGACGGCGGCTGCAAGGTCGGGCCCTGAACCCTGGCGATGCTGAGATTGCTGTGGGGATGCTTCGTAGCAGTGCAAGAGGGAAGAGGAGGCAGGAAGGATGATGATGATGATGATGCTGATGATGATGATGATGATGATGATGATGATGATGATGATGCTGATGCTGATGATGATGATGATGAGGAAAGATGAGACAAGTTAGAACAACAGGGGAGTGAGGAGAGATCATGATGGAGGAGCAGGAGGACAAGGAGGATGATGATGAGGAGGAGGAGGAGGATATGAGGAGGAGGAGGAGGAGAAGGAGGAAGAGGAGGAGGAGGAACAGGAGGAAGAAGAGGAGCAGGAGGAGGAAGAGGTGGAGGAGGAGGAGGAGGAGGAAGACACGCAATAAGTATCATACGAATACGAATAGTGTTTAAGAAAATAAGAGATACTTAAGAAGAGCAATACCAATACTAGCCATACTGTGGGAGCTCATATATAACGAAACGCAATCATAGCACTAATGCTACTAACTGTCGCAGAATTTGTATTGGCAACGTTAAGAGTCATAAGAAGATGAGTAATCAGGAAACTGATAATCAAATTATCCACAACACGAATAAACAATTTTTTAAATGGTTCAAACAGGAGTAGGACAGGGAGGAGGAGAATGAGGAGGAGGAGGACAAGAGGAAACGGTGGAGGAGGAGGAGAAGGAGGAGGAGGGAGGGCGAGGAGAAGGTGGTGGAGGAGGGGAGTTAGTAATTTCATTATCGATCATAACAATGATGAGATACTAACCATGCCAATGAAAAACAACTTTATGAGAAACATCGTAAGGAATACTGATGTGATTAATCAGACATCCAAGGCGCACAATATTTATACTACTATTCAGACGAATCGTGATATCAGTAAAAGGGCGGGGAACCATGATCATCACCATAAGATCAATAATGTTATTAACCGCATGCCGATGATAATAAAGGGACCCCCCCTTCAGCGTTTAGAGTTGATTATCGTCGCCCTATACAAAATTCAAATTGGGCGGCGAGCGCTGAGGCCGAACTTCATTATCACCTCGAAACGCTATGTTGAGATAGCAACATCAAGCGATGATGATATAGCAACATCAAGCGAAGCGATCACACTTTTTCAGGATGTGTCAAGCGAAACCAATAATTTTGGGAGGCAGACTCAAACGAACCGAGCAATGTTCCAAGGATGTCTCAAGGATGTTTCAAGCTAAGCCAGCAACTTTTTTCTTTTTATTTATATTTTTTATTATCTTCCTTTTTATATATGTATCTATCCCCGCGCGCGCCTGAACTTTTTAATCTCTGGGGTTGATTACCCATGGAAAGGGGAGCACATGAGCTACCCTACATGAGCACTTAAAAAACAATTTCCATAAAGCGCTTGTAAATTAAAATTGATAGATTTGTAACTTTCCATTTTTTCCGTTCTTCTTCTCTTCTTCTTCTTCTCTTCTTCTTCTCTTCTTAGTATTATTCTACTTTCCTCTTCTTATTTTATATTTCTATCTGTCCTCACGCTCGCCTGAACTTTTTTATCCCTGGGGTTGATTATCCATGGAAAATGAAGCACATGAGCTACCCTACACGAGCACTTAAAAAATCAATTTTCATAAAGCGTTTGTAAATTAAAATTGATAGATTTGGAACTTTGGATTTTTCCTTTCTTCGTCCTCTTCTTATTCTCCTCTTCTTCTTCTTTCTTATTATTCTTCTACTGTATTCTTCTTCTTTTATATTTCTCTCTGTCCCCACGCTCGCCTGAACTTTTTTTATCTCTGGGGTTGATTATCCATGGAAATTGAGGCACATGAGCTACCTACCCTACACGAGCACTTACAAAAAAACAATTTTCATAAAGCGCTTGTAAATAAAATCTAATAGATTTGAAACTCGAGATTTTTTCTTCTTTTCCTCCGAGCGAAACAAGGGATTTGTCGAGGATGTCTCCAGCGAGATAAGCCATTGTTGAGGATATTTCTATGAAAACTAAACGCCAAGGATGTCTCAAAACGTGCTCGGCTTGGTCTCCTCTTGATCATCTCTTACTTCGAGATTATGCTGAGGTCTGCTGGGCTACTTTTATTATCTCTCCCTGAACCCCGAACTTTATTATCCCCTAGTGTTTATTCTCACGGGCATGAGGTTACTAATATGACTAAACATGTGATACGCACATACACAAGAAGAGTAAGCATAATCAGCAAAAGGAGGAGGAGCAGGAGGAGGAGAAGGGCGAGGAGGAGGGAGGAGGAGGAGGAGGAGGATGAGAAGGAGAAGGAAGGGGAGGAGGAGGAAGAAGGTGGCAGGAGAAAGAACCCATATTCCCTCGCGATGTTGAAACATGAAAGCGTTTGTCTTGTTCCTTCCAATTTCGAGCCCCACGGCCCCTCACAGGACACCAGCTGTCAAAAAACGACTCGGGATGGAAAACCGTCCCTGGGGAAGGGGTCGAGAACTCCAGGATCCTTGTTGTGAATCGAAGCGCCACGTCGGGGATATTGGGAGGACAGGGAAAAGTAGGGAGGAAGGAAGAAGAGGAGGAGGAGGATGATGATAAGGAGGAGGATGATGAGGAGGAGGAGGAGGAAAAGGAGGAGGAGGAGGAGGAGGATGGAAGATTCAGGATGTATGTTTTGAGCGTGTGGGGCGGTTTCTGTAAGCCTCCGAAATATTTCCGAGTGGAAGAACAGGCTCATTTGGTGCGCTCGCGCCAGATCTGATATCCGACCCCTCCCACCCCTTTCCGATCGGTGGGAGGAGGACAGTACCAGCAGAGGGATTAGAGCAGTAGACGCCCGTGGTGCGTAGTTGTCGAGGAGGAGATAGAGGAGGACGAGGAGGAACAGGAGGAAGAGGAGGAAGATGAAGAGGAGGAGGAGAACTGAGGATCGAGGACTGAAGTTTTTGGACGCATTGGGGATCGAGGATCGCAGGTTGGGGGGGAGGGGAGGGGAGTGTTTGTTGACCCTTTTCGGGCCTCTTTGTGCTACAGCCTCTGCGCCATCATACACCGTTGGGCCTCCGGAGGCGTCGGAGCATTCCACTGCATGTGGAGTACGGGGGCCCTCGAAGTGCTTCCACAGGTCTTCGCCATCTCCGGCGCACTCCTCGCAGGCAGGGACGTGCGACGGAGCCGCTGCCTGAGGAGCGTGGCCCCAGGAGCTGGCAGCAGAGCCCGACGCACATCCCGACGTGTCCCGTGCTCGTCCTCCCTGCCCCCTTGGCTGCTGCTGTGGCCGCCTGCCGCTGCCTCTGGTGCTTTCTCTCTGCTGTTGCAGCTCGTCGCCCCCCTCTTCCCTGCGATTCTCCTCCCAAGGTTCCCCCTGTTGTTCTTCCTCCTCCTCCTGCTCCTCCTCCTCCTTCGCCTCTCCTTCCTTCTTCCTCCTTCCTCATTCCTCCTTCCTCCTCCCTCCCCATTCTTCCAAGTTTTTCGTCTGTCCTCCTCATCATCCTTCCCTCGTCATCGTCGTCGTCCTCCTCCTCCTCCAATTATCCTTCCCTTCATGCCTCACCGAGCGTTACTTCTATCCTAATGGCGTATCCGTTTGACTATCCCTGACCTTGATGCCCCGAACTCTATCGCGTACGCCCCACAGATCGCTTGTTCCGGGCCCTTGTCCCCGTACCGCTTAATTGCAGTATGATTTGCCACTTGCCCTTGAGACCCTTGCCCCCATGTCCTTCACACCTCTGGACCTCTGCCAGAACAACGACCCCCGGAGCTTCACTGTCAGGCCATTCTGAAAGCCACGCGCGCACTTCGCATGGCGAATTCAGCCACACGCGCGCGCGCTGAACTGGCACCATCCTTGTCAACTGATGTGCTGCGGAGCAGACGTGTTGATCTTACAGTTTCGTTTTGCCAGGGTCCGTATACAAGGCTGTCATGTAAGCTACACGGGTGTGCCCGTGCTATAAGCAATCAAATTCCGCGTGGGACTCAAGCATGTCGTCGTAGTTATGGTGTAGCCGTCAGCTGCGCAACAGAGGCCCAAGAAAACATCATTATGAAGAAGACATCATTATGATCCGCTCCTAATGTTCCAGGGTTTCTCATTGTCGCGCGGCCAGACACAACTGGGCGAGTGCGAATGGCCGAGGGCCGCTAGAACCTCCAGAATTCCCACAACGTATCTTGAGCCAATCATATCATGATGTGTTGATTGCACTTGTGTAAGAAGTTGAGCTGTTTTCTGCACGCATAATTTGAGTCACAAGAACTATTCATTGTCCAGCGATGCCACCCAACACCGATCAAGCAACGTGAGCTTTGACATTCGGAATTGCAAGATGTCATGGGATCTGTCCGCGCTGGGCACTCACGCTCTTTTGTAGATTACAGGAAGCGCGCTTTGAATGAGCTCAGGCATCGCGTAGTCAGCAGCTCCTCCCGCTTGCCATGCGAATTGGAACCAGCACTGACACCAGGTCCCACGCGATACAGCCGCACGCGTTGATGTTCTACACGATGATCTCGCACTCGCATGTCCCGCCCGACTCGACTCGCCCGTCAGACTGCCTGTCAGAGTCCGCCCGCCCGACCCGCCCATTCAGGTCCGCCCGCCCGTCCCGAACCGCGCGTCCGAGCTATAGTTCGCAAGTTGTCGTCGCCCACTTCAGCGTGTCAGATGAACTTTGTTCACAAGTTGTCGTCGCTCACTTCAGTCGCCGCCTCTGGAGATTGCTAACAAGTTTCGCCTCGGGGGGGCAACGACAAACACCGTATAAGGGACCGCTGCGTATGTGCTCAGGGCCACGGGCGGAGCTTTCGGCAACGATGTGGTCGTTGTATCCTATCCTTTTCCCTTCTTCGTGACAGAGCGCTCTCCGTGCTCACTGGCACAGGATTTTTGGGGGGGCTCAGCCCCGCCCCCCCTCACCCCCCCCTCCCGCTGCAAGGGGGGGAGGGGCTCTGGACCCTCCCCTCCTCGGCCTCCTCCTGCTCCGCCTCCTCCTCGCCCTCGGCTCCCCGACGCTCCCCTCCCTTCCAAGCACGGGGGAGGCCACGTCGTCAGCCTGACCGCCGACGCCGCCGCCGGCACCTTCCTGGCCACTGGCGTGCGCGAGGGCGGCCCGCGGCCCCCGGGGCGTGAGCTTTTCTTGGGGGGGGGGGGCTTCGGCGGGCGCCTCCGGAGCCCCCCGAGGGGCGGCAGTCACGCGGTGTGTGCGCGGGGCTTTGGCGGCGGGAGGAGGACGAGTTTTTTTTTTTTTTTTTTTTTTTTTTTTTTTTTTTTTTGTTCTCGGAGGGGGCGTCAGAGGGAGGAAGCCAGGGGAGCAACAAGGGGCATAAGCATAACAACTCGGAGGTCCGCGCGGATTTCTCGGATCGGCGCTGGACCCCCCTCCCTGGCGCGCGGAGCGCGCCAGGGGCGGCGCCGGAGGCGCCGCCGGGGGGCCCCAGCGCCGATCCGAGAAATCCGCGCGGACCTCCGAGTTTTTATGTTTATGCCACTTTTTGTTCCCCTGGAAAAGTTACCAGGGATGGAGGGGAGGAGGGGTGGGATTGTCAGAGGAGGAAGAGGTACCAAAAGGTACCAATGCCGGTATTCTTTCGTGGTTTTCGACTCTTGGGCCTCCTGGAAGACCCTCGTCGCCACCGCTGGATTCGCCTTGAAATTCTGGTCAGAAATGCCCCGGGAAAGGTCCAGGGAGTAGCTGTAGTGGTATCTTTGGGGGAGGGGTTGTCAGAGGAGGAAACGGTGCGCCTTCGTGGCACGCTTCTCACTGAAAGGGGGGATCCAGCTTAAAGCTCCCCCCCCCTTGGAAAATGGGAGGGGGGCTTCCGAAGCTGCCCGCCCCCTTCCCTTCTTTTTGTTGGCATTTCTGAGCTGGGCCGCCCTAGCTACATGGGAGGGGGGGCTTCCTCCCCCCACTTTTTCTGGAGCCTATGGTCAGCCCGGGCTCCCCTTCAAAGGGGGGGGCCTCCGAACCTCCCCCCCTCCTTTTGTTTGGATTTTTTATCTGGGGGTCCCTGGCTAAAGGGGGGGCGGCTTGGAAGCTATCTCACCCCACCCCTCTTTTTTGGGGCCCTGGGTAAGCCCAGGCTCCCCTTTCCAAAGAGAGGGGGGCTTCGAAGCTACCCCCCCTCCCCTCCTTCTGTTGGCTTTTCCAGCTGGAGGGCCCTGGCTGAAGGGGATATTTGAAGCTACTTTTCTTGTTTGGTTTTCGGCGCCCCGGTGGTTTTCGGCGTACTTGTTCTTTTCGGCGTCTCTTTGGTTTTCGGCGCCTCTTTGGTTTTCAGCGCCCCTTTGGCCTTTTCGACGCCTTTTTGCTTTCGGCGCGCCTTTGGTTTTTGGCGCCCTTTTGGCTTTTCGGCGCCTTTTTGGTTTTCGGCGCCCCTTTGGTTTTTGGCGCTTCGTTGGTTTTCGGCGCCTCTGTGATATTCGGAACCCTTTTCCCGGAAAGGGCGGGGGCCCAGGGTTCTCTTTTAGTTGGTAAACCTAATCCCCCGGTGCCAACTTGAAGGAGGCCGGCGGATTTTTTCCCTGATAAATATCGAGGTCGAAGGAGGCCGGCGGATTAAAATTTGAGGATGTCTCGAGCGAAACGCTTGTTTTTGAAATCCCGATCGATAAATCACAGGGTGCGGGCCACTTTTTCGTGTGTTGAGGATGTCTCGAGCGAAACGCTTGCTCCGCAGAGTTTGCCGAGGATGTCTCGAGCGAAACGCTTGTTTTGCAGAGCCGACCGCGACGCGGAAAAGCGCCCCGCGCGAAGGAATTTCGATGATGTCTCGACTAATTCCTTTGTTTTTGTACGATTTCCTGGAATTTTGGCAGGATGTCTCGAGCGAAATGCACGACCCCACCCTAGCACGACCATACCCCAGCACGACCACACCCCAGCACGACCAGACCCCAGCACGACCCCACCCCAGCACGACCCCACCCCAGCACGACCATACCCCAGCACGACCACACCCCAGCACGACCCGACCCCAGCACGACCCTACCCCAGCAAGACCACACCCCAGCACGACCACACCCCAGCACGACCTCACCACAGCACGACCACACCCCAGCACGACCACGCCCCAGCACGACCACGCCCCAGCACGACCACGCCCCAGCACGACCACCCCCCAGCACGACCACCCCCCCAGCACGACCACCCCCCAGCACGACCACCCCCAGCACGACCACACCCCAGCACGACCACACCCCAGCACGACCACACCCCAGCACGACCACACCCCAGCACGACCACACCCAGTCGCACCCCCGTGGAATGTTTCGTGGCGTGTCTGGTTGAGTGGTTGCCTGTTCGTGGGGTGTCTCGTGGAATGTTTCACGGGGTGTCTCGTGGAATGTTTCGTGAGGTGTCTCGTGGAATGTTTCGTGAGGTGTCTCGTGGGATGTTTCGCGGGGTGTCTCGTGGGATGTTTCGTGAGATGTCGCCCAGTTGGGTATCGTGAAAACGTGACCATGCTGCACATGTCTTTATCCCTTTCCGGGTTCGTGGGTCCATCATGTTTGGTTGTCGGTGCTTCTTTCTTTGGTTTTCGGCGCATTTTTTGTTTCTGGCGGGCCTTCTGGGGCGCTCTTGGGCCCCTCTTGGGGCCCTCTTGGAGCCTCCTTGGAGGCTTTCGGGGTCCTCTTGTGGCCATCCTGCCATCCTGGAGGTCAGCGATCAAGGATGGGGTAGTAAGTTACGCCCCCCCTGCCAGAGGCCGAACAAGTGCCTTTGGGTGCCGTCTAGCAGTGATTTCGAGGACTCTTTAGGCCGTCTTGGGCCCCTCTTTGGCCTCCCTTGGGGCTCTCTTGGGCCCTCTTGGAGCCATCTTGAAGTCTCAAGACCCTACCAGCCCATCGGAAGCTGGAAGGCGAGAAGAAGCACACACATTGATTTTCGGTAGGTGTTGGAATGCCGTTGGCCCCTCGGGGAGGTCACTTGGAGCAGTCTTGGGACGGTCATGACGCATCTTGGAGGCATGTTCTAAGCAATATTTCGTCATCTTGGGATATCTGGTTCGATCTTGGAGACCATCTCGGGCTGTTTGGGGCCCTCTTGGGGCCATCTTGGATGCTCTAACGACCCGCCCCCCCCCAGACCCCGGGAGAGGGGGTATGGGGGAGAGGTACATTGCACCTCGAAATGGAAGGATGTAGTAATAACTGACTCGGTAACATATGCACGCCGAATGGGTTGGTGGTATTGTTCCAGAGCGTTCTGGAACGCTCGCTGAGCAGCGTTCTGGATCCGCCGCGGCGTCCACCACACCGATAATATATATATATATATATATATATATATACATATATCGGCGCACCGGGTCCGGGGGCCCGGGGCCGGGACCTCGACCGCAAATGTGCACCCCGGGGGGCCCGGAGGCTCGTCGGGGCTTGCCGGGGGCCTCCCCAGTCAGACAAGACGGCCCAAGAAGCGCCCAAGACGGCCCAAGAAACTTCCAAGAGGCCTCCAAGAGGGCTCCGAGATGCTGAAGATGGCCTCCAGACGTCCAAGGACGCCCCCAAGAGGCCCCAAGAAGCCTCCAACATGCGTCCCAAGAGGGCCCCTAGACGCAAAAATTGGCCCATTCCCTTCGTAAAACGTACATTTTCAACAAAGTTGTCTTTTGGGCTTTCCGACGTTACAGGACGGCCCAAGAGGCGCCCAAGACCGCCCCAAGACGGCCCAAGAAGCTTCCAAGAGGGCCCCAGGACAGCCCAAGAGGGCCCCAAGACGGCCCAAGAGGCGCCCAAGATGGCCCAAGAGGGCCCCAAGACGGGCCCAAGAGGGGGCCCAGAGGGGGACCACGAACCGCAAGCTCGAGCCTTCCGCCCCAAGAGGCCGCCAGGAGGCCCCCAGGAGGCCCCTCAAGAGGCCCCAGGAGACCCCAGACGTCCAAGGACGCCCCCAAGAGGCTCCAAGAAGCCTCCAACATGCGTCCCAAGAGGGCCCCTAGACGCAAAAATTGGCCCATTCCCTTCGTAAAACGCACATTTTCAACAAAGTCGCCTTTTGGGCTTTCCGACGTTACAGGACGGCCCAAGAGGCGCCCAAGACCGCCCCAAGACGGCCCAAGAAGTTTCCCAGAGGGCCCCAGGACAGCCCAAGAGGGCCCCAAGACGGCCCAAGAGGCGCCCAAGATGGCCCAAGAGGGCCCCAAGACGGGCCCAAGAGGGGGCCCAGAGGGGGACCACGAACCGCAAGCTCGAGCCTTCCGCCCCAAGAGGCCGCCAGGAGGCCCCCAGGAGGCCCCTCAAGAGGCCCCAGGAGACCCCAGACGTCCAAGGACGCCCCCAAGAGGCCCCAAGAAGCCTCCAACATGCGTCCCAAGAGGGCCCCTAGACGCAAGAATTGGCCCATTCCCTTCGTAAAACGTACATGTTCAACAAAGTTGTCTTTTGGGCTTTCCGACGTTACAGGACGGCCCAAGAGGCGCCCAAGACCGCCCCAAGACGGCCCAAGAAGCTTCCAAGAGGGCCCCAGGACAGCCCAAGAGGGCCCCAAGACGGCCCAAGAGGCGCCCAAGATGGCCCAAGAGGGCCCCAAGACGGGCCCAAGAGGGGGCCCAGAGGGGGACCACGAACCGCAAGCTCGAGCCTTCCGCCCCAAGAGGCCGCCAGGAGGCCCCCAGGAGGCCCCTCAAGAGGCCCCAGGAGACCCCAGACGTCCAAGGACGCCCCCACGACGCTTCGCGTCACCAATTTCTTCTCACAACGATTCCTGGGTCTGTGACTCGACAGAACCTAAGCGCGCGCGAAGCGCGCGCGTGGTTCTAGTATATATATATATATATATATATATATATATATATATATATATCCGTAAGGGCTTCGCCCCCTGCCGCCGGCCCCCTCTCTATCAGAACGGGATACATCAGAGCTATATTGGGATGTTCGGGCGCCGTCTTGATAACATTCGGGAACGTCATGCTAGGGCGGCTGGCGATGAGCAAAACAGATTGAGATGCTGAAGTTGTTGTTGAACGCTTTGTTGCCTTCTTGGCATTTTCCTCCAGTCGTTCACTGGAAGCGCTCTGGGAACGGCTGGGGATTGCTTCAGGCAATCTCTGGGAAGGTTATGTTTTCTGCTCTGGAGAAGGAGTGGCGCCTTTGGGCAGCTTCCGCGAGGTGGATTCGTAGTGTGGGGGGTGCGCGCGAATTTGGTGTAATTCGCGGGGGATCGTGGCCTCGGGGACGCGAACGTGGCGTAATTTACGAGGGATCGTGGCCTGGGGGGCGCGACAGCGGCGTAATTTACAAGGGATCGTTGCCTCGGGGGCGCGAATGTGGCGTAATTCACGCGGGATCGTGGCCTCGGGGGCGCAAATGTGGCGTAACTTTCGAGGGATCGTGGCCTGGGGGGGTGAATGTGGAACCCACCGCCTAATTTTCTAGAAACGGGGGAGGGCAAACGAATACCAGCGGAGCACATATGCCAATGCAGAAAATTGTTGTTTTTCTGCTTTGGAGAGGGGGAGCGCCTTTTCGGCAGCCTCCGCAAGGCGGATTCGTGGCCTCGGGCGCCCGCTGCGTAATTTACAAGGGGTCGTGGCGTCAGGGGCGCGAATTTGTAGTAATTTACAAGGGATCGTGGCCTCGTGGGCGCGAAAATTATACAAATGATATGGGATCGTGGCTTCGGGGGCGCGAATGTGGTATACATTGCAAGGGATCGTGGCCTCGAGGGCGCGAATATGGAGTAATTTACACGGGATCGTGGCCTCGGAGACGCAAATGTGCTGTAAATTACAAGGGATCGTGGCCTCGGAGACGCGAATGCGGTGTAATTTACATGGGATCGTTGCCTCGGGGGCGCGAATACAATGTAATTTGCGAGGGATTATGGCTTGGGGGGCACGAAACTGTAGTATTTTTATGTGTCCCACGCCCCCCCCAGAAATTCTGAGAACCCTCCCGGGGGACGCTAACCAGGGCCTTTCTCGGCTCCCCCCCTCGCGCGGACAGTAACAATTTACAGTAGGAAGCAGAAAGCAGTACTGTAACAATGGAAACTGGAAACTGGAACTGGTGCAGGGAGCAGCAACCTTAATCCTCGCAGCCTGATGGCCCCGCAAGGGGGCCGGCGGATGTATATATATATGTATGTATGTATGTATGTATGTATGTATGTATGTATGTATGTATGTATGTATATATATATATATATATGTATGTATGTATGTATGTATGTATGTATGTATGTATGTATGTATGTATGTATGTATGTATATATATGTATGTATGTATGTATGTATATATATATGTATGTATGTATATATATATATCCATCCTCCAGATCCGCCACCTCCCCGATGTCCGGGCTTGTCTCTGCTCGGCCTCGTCTCCCTTCCACCGCCGCCTCATTATCGCGAACGGTCACGCACGTCGGGGCTCTCTGGGACGGAAGGCCTCCCCCGCTCCCTTCTTCGCTCCCGTGTGCTGGGCGGCACCCCACGGCCTCGTCTTGAGAGGGCTCGCGTCGAGGACGCCCGTCCCTGTCGAGCGGGGGGGCCCAGGACCCGCGCGCGCTCGAACCGGGAAGCCGAAGCCGAAGCCGATCCCTGCTTTTTCTCCCCCCTGCCTCCTCCCCCCCTGCCTCCTGCCTCCCTCCTACCTCCCCAGGCCCCCAGCGCCCGTTGCGAGATTCCCCCCGCCCGACTCGATTCGATGTCGACGGCTTCCGATGCCGACTCGAGTCGACTTCGGACTCCGATCTCTGGATTCCGATGTCTTCACGGAGGCCTGCTTTTCTGCCGATTTCCGCCGATTCGACTTTCCCCGTTTCGGCTGCCGATTTCCGCCGATCCGATTCGTTTCGATCGACGATTCTTGACGGCCCTGGTGCCCGGTGAAGGGTCACCGCAGTCCGAAAATGGCAAGCAACGATCCGTCGTGATTCTATCACAGGGCGAGATAGTCTGGGCCCTCGTCCTCGTCCTCCTCCTCCTCCTTCTCCTCCTTCTCCTTCTCCTACTCTTCCATCCCTCTTCCTAACGACCAGCCTCTCCTGGTCTCACCATCAAACGTGTCGTTAGGGTGGTCAAGGCGGTTCGCCTGATATATCCTCACCGCTGGCGATGCAGATGCTGGACATGTCCAACAGTTGCACGGATGAAATCTGGACTGTTCTCAGCATGGGGCTCTCGCTTTGGCGCCACGCAGGCTCGTCTTACACAATTCAAGTATTTTCGGCGGGCCGTTTTCACAAGGAGGCGCTCGCACTGGCGCCGCGCGCACTCTTCTCAGACACATCCAGCTGTCACACGCATGGAGGGCGAAATCTTGCCAACATCGAGCTCTCGCCTGGGACTTCCTCGAGCACTCACTCGACACCTAACATCGTGCAGCCACTGCAGGATTGTGAGGGATTGTCAGCGGCTTCTCTGTTCTTGGCATCGCTCGGACGTGTGCATTTTTCCTTCGGCGAGGACCATCGAGGAGCATCCTTGATCATTTCGAGAAAAACCACACACGAAACCGAAAAAAACACAGGGAATGGACGTCCGAGCGGTGGCGAGTGGCTGGCAGCTCCTTTTTTTCCAGGCGGAAGTCCCCCGACGACCTGCTGGCCCGTGGGGCGCTCGCCTTTCGAGGCGCGCGCTTCGCGCTGTGAAGAAATCGTGTGGGGGCTACGCAGCTGGGGCCACGCCACCACCTGTGGCGTTGGGCGATGGCACAGCGTTCCAGCACGCTTAAGCAATCTTGCTTCTTGGGACTCTCTTTGACTGCAAAGGCGATGCTGACAAAAGCATGGAGCACAGGTTGGGCAAGGGGGAGGCGTGCTTTTGGAAGCATTGGGAGCTCTTTGCCGACAGGGCGTCTTCGAGCGATAAACTGGTTACGTGGTCCGCGCCTGAGTCGTCCGCCTTGTTCGGCAGCGGCACGTGGCATTGAACCAAACATGTCGTGATGCGCGTGCGGAGATGGGAGCTCCGCCTCTTACGAACAAGTTTGAAGCTGAAGCGCAGGCCAGGCGATAGTCTTATGAATTATAATGCCAGGACGTCCTTGTTGATTAAGCGTTGGTTTTCCAAGCAGGGCCAATCGCCGATGCACCATACACTTCTCTTGTCCGTTTTCGATCATGCCTGGAGGGAGCGATGTTTCCAGTCTCCCAATGGCAGTCCTCTTCTCCAGATTGCACGCGGGGTTCCGTGACAGAGCGTTTTGGGACACGGCGCAAACTTTCAGCGTAAGTCGTCGCAGAGCTGAAGGTGTGGTGCACGCCGGTATGGGGCCCAGATGTGAGTGGGAGGGCGTATTTTGCCTTGCTTTCGGTACGGCTTGGAGGACCATCCGGGACTCGTGCGACGGCTTGCCGGCATGGCGGAAAGTATTCCCAAGGCTTCTGGACAGCGTTTGCGAGCATTGGCAGCTCCCGGCCGCTGCGGCGTTGGAGGCCGAGCAGGGCGAGGCCCAAGAGGGCTGGCGCGCGAGGCGCCCAAGGCGAGACGTGTATGACTTCGACACTTGCCCGACGGCTCACGGGGACAACCCGCCCGCGATGCCTTTCGAGCGCCCGCGTGGCTGCTTTGCTTGAGTGGTGGACTGCCAACCTTTAGCTGCCGTGGCTTGCGGACATGCTCCTATCGCGGATGCGTCCTTGCTCCCGGCATTCGAGCGCATCACGAATAACACGTTCCATTTGATAGATTTTGGCTGGTCTCCAGCCCAAGATATCGGCGATCCAGTCTTTTGGCATCGGCGCGAATACAACAAGATAGCAGATTCTTAGTACATTGCACCATGGACTGCGGTTGGAGCTGATTCAAAGAAGTGCCACCAGCAGTTCTACAGTGTTCTGTTGACGACGTGTTTGATCGTCTTCGGCACCGCCTGATCCCGGAGCTTTGCTCCCTCCTGGCCTTGACGTGAGGCTCCTCCTTCTCTCTCCCCCTCTTTGTTAATTCAAGCTGTGCGCGGCCCGCTTAGCTTCCGACCCGCGAATCAAAAAAAGTTGACGATGTCAATTTCATATGCCATTCAGATGGCGGCGCGCGCCGAGACTCCTGCTCAGCAGCAACATGGGTAATTGAAGCTGTCGTCATCAGGGAAGGGTCGTCGCCATACCTTCCCAGTCGCCTTCCGTGGAGTGTTTTTCGCCTCGCCAGCGTCTTCTGTCACAGCCGAGACCGTCGCACTAAACGACTGCATCGTGCATCTCACCAAGTCTATTTGCCCACCCTAGTTCGCCAAGCGTTGTCGTGTGCTTTCACAGTATAACTGTATTTTGTAGTTGCAGGCCTGTCGTAGTACGTGACATGAGGAGTCTGGAAGAAGAGTAATAATAATTCATGTGTTTCTAAGGGGATTTGCTCCGCCCTCCTCCTACTCCCGGTCCTTCTCCGTCTCTCGGTCCTCCTCCTCCCTCTTCTGTCGTCCCTCGCCTCAGTTGATTACCTCCAGACTCTCTCCAAAGTTTCTCGCGGAGGTTTCTGGGGGCCGCCAGACGCCCAAATCCTCGATCTCCGATCCTCCTCGTCCTTTTCCTTCTCCTCCTCCTCCTCCTCCTCTTCCTCCTCCTCCTCCTCCTCTTCCTCCTCCTCTTCCTCCCCGTCCTCCTCCTCCTCCTCCTCCTGCTCCTCCTCCTCCTCCTCCTCCTCCTCCTCCTCCTCCTCCCCGTCCTCACCCCCGTCCTCACCCCTGCCTGACTCTGCTGGCCTTCCTGCCGCCGTCTCGGCCGGCACCCCCCCCCCCGCTCCCGCCACCCTGGAAGGCGGCTCCGCCTTCGCGGGTAGCTGCGTGCGCCTGCTGGCGGCGCCGCCAGCTGACGCCAGCGAGCTCGCGGCGACCAGCCCTGTCGCCAGGAGCCTCCCGGGGGCCACAGATAGGGACAAAAATCGAGTCGCCAGAGGTCTCGGACAGTCCGCTTCCTTCCGTACCCCCTCCCTTCCTTCTCCCACCCTCCCTTCCGTCACCCCCTCCCTCCCCGTCTATACCCCTCGCTGCCCTTCTCCCTCGCTCTCCTTCCCCATCAGGGGCAACGTTATGAGGAGATAGGCTCATGGTGGGATGCGTCGACCCCCAAACGCCCATTGATTGCCGATAGGAGCTCGCAAGCCCGCCCCCTCCAAAATCCTTAAGGTTCGCAATCGGGGGCCTGTCGCCGAACAATCGGCGATGCATCGCCGATTTCAGCTCGATGTTTTTCTCCCTGAGCCGGTCCGGGGAAAAGATAGGGGGGACTGGCGGTCCCCCCCATCGTTTACGCGCACCTCTGCAGACGTCCAAAGCATTACTTTTCTGAATCCTGACATTTATCCCAGATTCTCAGATCCCACTGTCTTTCGCTCATTATCGCTTTTTTGTGCCCTCCTGTGCTGCCATCGTGCTCTCATGGCCGCGGCTGGATTCGCCTCGAAGTCCTTGTCAAAACTGACCGCAGGAGAGGCCTGGGGAGGAGCGGTATGGGAATGCTTTTGTGTTTTTCAGTCTCGAATTTCAAACGGGCCACTTTCGGACACCGGGGCCGTCAACAAATTGTCCACACGGATAAGCTGCCTTGGAGGGTGTCGGGGGCCCTTGGGGCCGCAGATGGAATGCAAAAACACAACAATGGTTCTTTGCGTTATATGCCAGTGCCTGGCCCTTCGGTTGGCTTCGAGGGATAGGAGGGCCTGGGGATCGAGGGTCGAGGATTGAGATTCGCAATTGGCTGTGGATGTTCTTGGAGATTTTCTGTGCCTGCACCAAGGCCCCCTGGATGGGGTCCGAGTAGATGGGGTCATAGGATCGCGCCGCATCGCCGATGCATCGAAGATGCGGCTCGATGTGGAGGCGGTGTTTCTCCACGCCTACTTCGCCGATGCATCGCCGACGTCGCCGATGCATCGCCGATGCATCGCCGATACATCGCTGACGCATCGGCGATGCGGCGCGATCCTCCGACCACATCTACTCCGACCCCATCTAGGAGGCCTCTACTCCAGGAGGCTCCCCGTCGCTGCGGCCAGATCCCTCGTTCTGATCCGTGCTTGGCCTTTTACCTGGGCCAACGGGGAGGGAGATGATGATGAAGCTGCTGATGATGATGATGATGATGACGATAAAGTTGCTGATGATGCTGCTGATGCTGATTATGATGATGAAGATGCTGATGCTGATGATGATGTTGATGTGGATGAGGATGATGCTGCTGATGATACCGATGATGCTGATGATGATGCTACTGATGATGCTAACGCTGCTGCTGACGACGATGATGACGATGCTGATGCTGCTGATGGTGATGACGACGATGATGATGCTGATGATGACGATGATGATGATGCTGATGCTGATACTGCTGCTGATGATGATGTTGGTGCTGCTGCTGCTGATGATGATTATGATGATGACAAGGCTGCTGCTGTTGATGATGAAGATGATGTTGATGCTAATGCTGATGCTGATGATGCTGATTCTGATGATGATTATGATGCTGCTGCTGCTGATGATGCTGATGATGATGATGATCAGGAGGAGGAGGAGGAGGATAAGACGGTCGAGGAAGAGGAGAAATGATGCGGAAGCGGATTGTGACGCTACGAAGACGATGATAGCGATGGTGACGTGGCTGATGCTGTTGATGATGGTCATGTCATCAGCGATGATACTGTTGCTGCTACGGTTGTTGTTGATGCTGATGCTGATGCAGATTATGATGATGACGATGATGATGACGATGATGCTGATGATGATGATGCTGCTGATGATGATGATGTTGATGATTATGATGATGATGATGATGATGATGATGATGATGATGATGCTGATGCTGATGACGATGCTGATGGTGGTGTTGCTGTTGATGGTGATGCTTATGTTGCTGCTGATGATACTGATGCTGATGATGATTGTATGAAGAGGCAGAGTAGGAGGAGGACGAAGTAGGTCGCAGCCCGAACGCGTCACTGCCGACCTGATCTCATGCGTATTATCAGGTGGTCCCATGGCCTGGACTCTCGCCGAGCCCTAGCTTCGATAGTTTGAGTCGGGGATCGGACACTTAACCACCCAAACTTGTTATCGAATCTTCGACATATACGCAGAATACTCTGTAGAGCATCGGCGCATTCTACGTATGTTTCGCAGATTCGGCGGAAGCATCAGTTCTAGACGCTTCGCGTCACCCCACCAGCCCATCCAGAAACGATGCCCAGGCACGTTGCCATGATCAGGCATGTGGGGGAGCACGCAGTATAACAAAGACAGGGGAGCTGTCATACCCCAAGAGGGGGTACTTGTTATGAGCTCACTGCACACACCGAGGAAGGACAGGCAAATCTGCGTGAGCTTGTCGCCATGGGTGGGGAAGTGCCAGGATAGTATGGTAGTGCGAAGGAGGGCGCTGGTTAGGGAAGAACACATTCCTGTAGCTGCACAGGGTGTGTGGAGGGGCCTGTGCCAGGGCGGCTGGAGGAGGAGGAGGAGGAGGAGGAGGAGGAGGAGGAGGAGACGGAGGAGACGGAGGAGGGCGACCAGAAAAGCCAGATGCCTCTTGGATGTCTTTCGGAGTTTCGTCGGATGTCTCTTGAGAGCTTCTTGCAATCCTCTTGGAGCCTCTTGTGTCTCTCGAGAGCTTCGTATAGGCCTCTTGGAGCCTCTTGGGGGCCTGGTGGCGGTCCCAGGAGTATCTTGGAGACATTAGGGGGGCATTTTGGAGGCATCTTGGGGACCTTGGGGCCTCCTGGGCGCCTCTTGGGGCCCTCTTTGGGGCCCTGGGGTCCATCTTGGGGCCATCTTGGAGGAGATCGATCAGAGGAGGGGTCGTAGTAAATTAGCCTCCCCCCCCCGCGAGGCCAACATTGGCCACAACCTATGTAAAACCAATGGTGGGGGAGGCTTACATGAGTTGCCACCGAATCGTCGCCACAGCTGGATACTTCTTGGCATTCAGGTTAGAACGCGACCAGGCGCAGCCGCAAGCAGGAGGGCAATTTGGGGCCGCCATCGTAGGAACCGCTGCCAATTGGAGTGCCAGTGGGAGTCGCCTGCGCAGCCGCCGCCGCCAGTCGGAACCGCCTGCGTTGAAGCCGCCGGGGTAGGAACCGCCCACAAGAAGTGCATGCGTAGGAGCCGCCTGCGTATGAGAAGACGCCAGTAGGGGGGATCAAGCCGCCAGCGTAGGAACCGTCGGCATTGGGAGGGCCAGTGTAGGAGGCGCTGCCAATGGGAGTGCCACTGGGAGCCGCCTGCGTGGGAGCCGCCGCCAGCAGGAACCGCCTGCGCTGAAGTCGCTTGGGCAGGAACCGCCCTTGGGAGCTGCGTGCGAAAGAGCCGCCTGCGTAAGAGAAGGCTCCAAATGGGGGGACCAGAAGGAGCCTTGGAGCTGGAAAAGAGCATCGCGCGAGGTCAGAGTCCACAGAGAAGCGACACAAGCAGGCAGGGGGAGAGGGGGGAAGCAAGGGCACCCAACTTCGCGCCCGCCCTCCGCGAAGCGCGAAGCGCGAATGACTTCGCGCTCTCGCGCCGCCCACCAGGGGAGAAGAGGAGAATGAGGCCAGCGCAGGAGCCGCCGACAGTGGGAGCCGCCCGCGCAGGAATCCGCTCGGGTAGGAGCCGCCGCGCGCGGGAGTCGCGTGCGCGCGGGAGCGCGTGCGCAGGAACCCCCGCCAGGGAACGGAGGGAACGGGACAGCTGGAGCGGCCTGCGCAGGAGCCGCCGGCGTAGGAGCCGCCGCCGCGGGGAGCCGCGACTGGGAACAACGCCGGCGCAGGCGACGCCGCGAGTGGCAGCTGCCAGCAGCAGCTGCCAGAGGGAACCGCCGCAAGTGGGAGCCGCCGCCGACAGCCGCCGCCAGCGGGGACCGCCGCCACTGGCCGCTTCTACTCGGAACTGCCGCCTGTCGGGGGCCGCTGGCGCCTTGAGTTGGCAGCCGCCACGATGGGGAGCTTGAAGTGGAAGTCCAGTGTAAAGCAAAAGATGGCCACGAGGTAGGTGCGCGACGCTGCCACTGCAGAGGTGGCCTCTCCGCCCATTAGCATCACCCAAGTCGAGCTCGTGGACAAGGAAGAAGACGTAAGGAAAGCATATGGATGGGCCGAGCCCATGAGTGCCCGGCGCCGATGCCGCCTGCGCACGATAGACACCTGGAGCCCGAGCAGAAGATGTAGGTGGACGGGAACCACTGCACCGCCGCTGCCGAAAGCCAGGCCAGGTGCAGGAGAATGCTGATTTATGGTCGCGAGGGCGCCGAAGGACAATCAACGCTTCCGTGTGCACAGGCGGGGAAGCGACCGCACGGGAGTGCCGCACCAGCGTGGACATCACTGTGCACCGCGGCGGGTGCTGCTGCACCCCGCCGCGTGCCGCAGCACCTGCGAGTGTAGACAGAGGCGACCTGTCCCAGGCTCGGCGGCACGCCCGGGGGGGTACGTGAGACGGGGCAGGCCTTCTCACAAGGCGGTGGGACTTCTCAGAAGCACTCCGGTTTTCTGAGAAGCCACCTTTGTCTTCGGGGAAGGCTCCGACAGTTTTCCACACATCAGGAGGCTTTCTGAGCATTCTGAGCAGGCCCGCCTCTTCTCACTTCCCCCCCCGTGGCTCGCCGCCGACAGCAATTACAGGCCTGGAGAAACCTACGCGATGATGGTGGTGGTGATGATGATTCTGGTGGTGGTCATGGTGATGATGGTGGTGGTGATGATGCTGATGACGACGAGGGTGGTGTTCGTGATGCTGATGGTGATGATGACGGTGATGATGATGATGCTGATGATGATGATGACGATGATGATGATTCTGATGATGGTGATGACGATGATGACGATGATGATGCTGCTGATGATGATGGTGATGATGATGCTGATGATGATGATGATGATGATGATGTTGATGATGATGATGATGACGGTGATGGTGTTGTTGATGATGATGCTTATAATGATGATGGTGGTGGTGGTTGGTGCTGTATGATGATGAGGATGGTGGTGGTGGTGGTCATGATACAGATGAGGATGGGGATGCTGTTGGTGGGGATGCTGAGGGTGATGGTGACTGTGAGGGTGACGAGGGTGAGTGTGGTGTTCCCGATGATGACCCAACGGGCTCCTGGAGGACCCAGAGGTCTTGGGAGGTCTCCAGAGGCCTGCATGTGCCCCTGAAAGCCCAGCAACAGCAGTCAGCGTCCAAGAGCCGCCCCCGAAAGCCAGAGTCATCGGCCAGGCGCCGCCAGGTGGTCGCGGGGGGGGGGGGGGGCGGCGGAGGAGGATCGAAGACAGGGGCACGGGAAGGAAATTCGGAGGAGGAATGGAGCAGGTGAGGAGGAGGAGGAGGAGAAGGAGGAGGAGGGGGAGGAGGAGGAGGGGGAGGAGGAGGAGGGCGAGGACGAGGACGAGGAAGACGAAGGGGGAGGATCAGCAGGGAGGAGGACAAGCAGGAGGAGTAGGAGGCGGCGGGGGATAAGGAAGGGGAGGTGGAGTAGGAGGAGGAGGAGGCGGACGAGCAGGAGGAGGAGGAGGTGGAGGAGGAGGAGGAGGAGGAGGAGGAGGAGAGGAGGAGGAGGAGGAGGAGGAGGAGGAGGAGGAGGAGGAGGAGGAGGAAAGGACAACAAGACGCATCAACGAAGCTGCAATATACCCTCCTTCCAAGTTCTCTCTTCATAGGTCCGTGGAAGAGTGTTTTTCTCATTCCAGGAACTGTTCCATTAGAAGGCAACCGTCTGAGTAACTTCAGCCGTGCCAATTCGCCGTTCCTGGGACTTCAACGCCGCGGATCAAAGTTACCCTTGCGTCCTGACAGTCCTAGGCCGTGCCAAAGCACCGTGACTGGGACTTCCACGCCGCGAACAAGCATCACGGCTGCGCCCTTACAAATTTTAAACGCGCCAGAACGCCATTCCTTGGACTCTGGCCACATTCATTCTAGATCTTGTTGCAAACTTTGAGACGACAGTGTGCGGCGCCCAGGCGACAACCACCTTTTGAAAATGGCCCGTTTTCCACTTGTGAGGCTGGTACAAGCTTTTAGGACGAATGAGCGCGGCGCGGAGGCGAGAGCCACAATGTGAAGGGACTTGCCTTCCATCCGTGGAGCTGCTACATGCTTTTAAGACGAATGTGCACGGCGCCCAGGCGAGAACAATCTTTTGGAAACGGCCCGCCCTTCGTCTGTGAAGCTGGTCCAAGCTTTTAAGTCGAACGTGCGCGGCGCGGAGGCGAGAGCCACATTGCGAGAGCCACAGTTTGAAAGACACTCGCCCCCCAACTGTGAACCCGTTGCACATTTCAAGCTCCACGATCACATATGGTGGGGGCGTTTCAAACGAAACGCCCAGCCCGCCCTACGGACACGCTTGGGGGTGAGATCGGGAGGAGTTATCAATGATGAGATGGGGTGGGGGAGGCGGAGGAGGAGGAGGAGGAGGAGGAGGAGGAGGAGGAGGAAGATGAAGAGGAGGAGGAGGAGGACGAGGAGAAGCAGGAGGAGGATGAGGAGGAGAGGAAGATGTGGGGTGGGGGTGGAGGATGCGTTATCAATGATGAGATGGGGGGGAGGCGGAGGAGAAGGAGGAGGAGGAGTAGGAGGAGGAGGAGCAGGAGGAGGGGGGAGGAAGAGGATGAGGATGAGAGGAGAGGAGGAGGAGAGGAGGAGGAGGAGGAGGAGGAGGAGGAAGATGAGGCAGCAGGGAGGAGGAGCGAGCAGCAAGGAGGAGGATCGCCAGGCGCCGCCCCGTGGACGCGATCGGGGTGGCCGCAGTGCCCCGGGAGCCCCCGCACGGGCTCGGGCTGGCCCTCAACGCCGCGCCGCCGCCGGCCACGGGGCCCGAGGCCGAGGAGCGCCGTCGGGGCGGGAGCTTCGCCGGTGGCGGCCTCCTCGCGGCGGACTGCGGGAAGGCCTGCCCGACAGCCGCCCTGGGCGCGGCCCTTGGCGCGCTCCTGGCGCGCCAGGGCGGCAGGGTCCAGCGCGGATCCAAGAGATCCGCGCAGGCTTCGGAGAAATCAGGCTTGTGCCGCTCAGTGTGAAGTCGGGCCCGTCCCTCTGCAGGAGGAATAGTCAGAAAATAGTCTGGGGACTATTTCTGGAGTATTTTTTGACCATTTTGGAATCTGTTTTGGGGTATTTTTTATTTTTCGTCGAAAATCTCCCTGTAGGGGGACACGCCCGACTTAAGCTTAGTGTTTTTCCTAGAACTCGGTGGTTCAGGGGTGGGGTCCTGGGGGATGGGGGCCTAAGGATGGCAAGGGATGCATGGGTGGATTTGCGTTGTTCGAGGCACCTCGTCCTTAGGTTTGGACTCCATGCCTCGTGACCCCATCTCCGAACCACCGACTGACCTGGTGGCATCGGCGTTCCAGGGGGTGGTAGGGAGGGCACGGTGGCGGATTCGTGAGTTGATGTCTCGACGACTTGATGAGATCGTGCCTTGACTTGCTGCCTCGCGGGATCTCCGAGCTGGCCTCCGCCTCCCCCATTCCCACTTGGGATCTTGGGAACCACCCGAAGTGGCGGGAGGGGGGGGCACGCAGGATTTCTGTACCCTGGGTCACAGATACATGCACCACGGTCACAGGGGTCCCTGGCTCAGGCGAGAGGCCAAATTTTTCCACGGGGGTGCGGGTGGGGTGCGGGTGCCGACCCCGGGAATTCCAAAGGAAGCCTTCTCCGGCCGCCTGGATACAGCTCGCAGACGGCCCACGAGACGCCTCAGATGGCTTCCCGAGCCCGAAAGGCCCCCAAGAGAGCACCCAGACAGGCAAATGTGTCGCAGCCCTTGTTGTTGTTGTTGTTGTTGTTGTTGTTGGTGTTGTTGTTGTTGTTGTTGTTGTTGTTGTTGTTGTTGTTGAACATTATTTCTTCTTAAGAATAATTATTGTTGGGACCCCTGGTGCACGACCCCCCCGCCGCGCCTAGGCCGCAGCCACATTTTCATCATTTTCGTGAGGAAGTCTCAGGCAAAACGGGGGTCCGGATCCGGTTGTGTTGTTACGATCGGTTTTCCCTTGCAAAAATAAGCTAAAGTGGACATTTCTTGTTCTAACATAACCAAACTTCAAGAATCCCTTGCAAAAAATAAGGTAAAGTGGACATTCGCGCGCGCAAGACGAAATCCTTCCAAAACCTTAGTGTTCGTAACGATTTTAACATAAAAACATAAAAAAAACAATGGTTTTTCAAAACAAATTGTCAAAATTTCATCCCGCGCGCTCTTGCGGATTTGTAGGAAACCCAACACTTTTTAAACATTTCTGTCAAACGGGCTTTTGCGAGCAACTTTTTCGAACTTCTGCAACAACGGTTGCGCACCTGCCAGGGCCATCATCCCTGTCAAATAATACCATGCGGGACACATTCGTTTTTTCTTCGCGCGCGCACGCCGTCGTCGTCGGCCGCGGGGCCCTGAATAGTAGCCACGGTCGTCCGCATGCCACGAAGTGAAGTGTCCGAACGTCATAGGGCGGGAAGCTGGGTGTGGGTGGTGGCGAAGAGTCGTTTGGAAATTTGGTAGAGCTTGAACCGGCCCCCCCACAAAGTGGGGGTATTGCCCGCCTCCTATGAAAACCCTGGCACTGGTGAGAACGGACTGTCCCCACGTGCTAGTAATTGTTGTTGTTGTTGTTGTTGTTGTTCTTGTTGTTGTTGTTGTTGCTGTTGTTGTTGTTGCTGCTGTTGTTGTTGTTGTTGACGTTGTTGTTGTGGTTGCTGTTGTTGTTGTTGTTGTTGTAGTTGTTGTTGGTGATTGTTGGTTGTTGTTGTTTGTTGTTGGTTGTTGGTTGTTTGTTGTTTGTTGTTTGCTGTTGCTGTGTTGCTGCTGCTTCTGCTGCTGCTGCTGCTGCTGTTGTTGTTGTTGTTGCTGTTGTTGTTGTTGTTGTTGTTGTTTGTTGTTCAACATTTGTTGCGTATTCGTCCTCTCGGCCCAGCGTGATGTCCATTGCGCTTTCGAGGGCTCCCAGGCCCCTCAAAATTGTGGAATGGGGCCCCAAGAGGCCTCTACGACGTCTCCAGATGGCCTCCAGAGGAGTCCAAGGCAGCCTAAGAGAGCCCCCCACGGCGGCCCAACACGGCGCACAGATGGCCGAGATTCCAAACAGTTTCATGTTCGTCCTTCTTCATCCTCGTTCTCGGTTGTGCCTCGCGGTTTGACTCGCAGTACGCGTTAGTGTGCGAGTTGTGCGAGGGTTGTTGGAGAGTGCGTTTCGCATGGTGTCAAGTACGAAAAGGGTGATGGTAATGATGATGTTGATGAGCACGATGATGGTGATGATACTGATGATGCCGATGAGTATGATAATGATGATGCCGATGAGCATGATGATGGTGATGATGACCGTGATGGCGATGCTGATGATGAGGAGGAGTTGTGGATGATATGATGATGGTGATAGTGATGGTGATGGTGATGATGCTGCTGATGATGATTGTGCTGGTGATGTTGGTGGTGATGTTGATGGCAATGGTGTGTGAAACCCGTGTAATACCCTCATATATACTCCTTATCCTTACCTCTCCCGCACCTGGCCGTTTGGGCTCAGGTACTGAGTTGGAGCGATCGTACCTTGATCGCTTGGGAGGGAAAGATATCCATCTATCCCTCCATCTCTCTACCAACGGATCAGGGGTTCTGTACTCTTGTACTTCAACCCCATACACAGGTCATCAGCCCTTTAACGCTCACCTTCACCGACTCGCCCGCGGTGACCTTGCATGCGAGCCCAATGGAGCCGCTTCGGCGCATGCGCCGTAAGGGTTCCATTGGGGCTTCGCGTCCAAGCTCTCCCACGGTGCGACGGCTCGGTGACGAGTTGGAGAGCATTAGTGCGGACTGTGTTGGTGTCCCCGATACCCCCCCCAGCTCCCGAGGACCCGAGGCGCGTCTAGCTGCTGAACTTCGCCGCAGCGCCGCCCGCGGGGGGACAGGAGAAGGAGTAGGAACAGGAAGGAAGGAGTTCCACACGCCGACCTTTGATCCTCCCTCCCCTTCCCCGTCGGGAGCAATCCCAACCGCGTCAGGCGAAAGCCTTGCCGGTCTCGATACTCCAGGGCGCTTCCGCGCTAACCGCCGATGGACCTCAGGTGCTGGAACCCCCAGCCCTGCGACCGTCCCTGTGGCGGAGCACGTAGCTACCTTCGAGGAACTCAGTAGACCAGTGTCGGCACAGCCACAGACGCGGTACCCCAAGGTATCATCGGATGAGACATCACACGCACATGGTCCGAGTCGCAGCTCGTCCGCGCGCAACCGCCGTGGAGCCCCGGGCCCATACGGCGAGAGCAGGTCGAGCCCGCGTACTGCCTCTCAGAGGCCATGCACTCCCCGCGACAGGGGACACAGGGAAGCTGACGCTCCCCACCTCTCCATCTCAGACGACCAGCTGGCGGAGACGTCCGCCGCAGGTGACATAGCTGAGCTCAGAGACCAGGTTGAAACCTTCGTGTCCAGCCAATACTCTGGACTACTACAGAGCGTTCAGACGAATGCCACGGATACTGCAGCCATACGCCGCGATCTTGACGGCGCCTTAGGGATCATCGATTCCAGGATCGCCGAAGATAGACGCATCATAGGAGAACTGCAGTACCAGGTTGATCGTGAGGTGTCACACTCAGGTGAACGAACGGCGATGGTCGAGAACCTGCGCAACTATCTCGCGCAGATGGAGCAACAACTTGTGATCGTACGCGACACAGGCATTTCTGCGGTCAGGATTTTACACGATGAGATCCACGACCAGCTCCGTAACCGACCAACCCCAACCGAGGCCACAGACCTCGGCGACGTTTAGTCTCAGATCAATGATCTTCGATCTTACCTAGACCACACTACGGCGACGCTTCGTACCGAAGCACACGCAAACTCGTCGAACCTGATCGACATGTTGCAGCGTACTGAGAGAGTCATCACTCAAAGGCTTGATGCGACCAACGCTGTCGTGCAGCCACTCGCTAACCGGATCTCTGACATAGAGCAGCGTTTCCCTGGTGTACAGGACGCCCTGGCAGAGTTGCGTGTCGGACGAGCCCAGACTGATCAGCTGGATTCTCCTCCCACGGTTTACGATTTCGCCCGCCTCACTGACAGGTTGCAGGAGGTTGAGAAGGCGGCGGACCACACGCAGTTAGAGCTCTCCCAGGTTATTCATGAAAGAGATACTGAGAAGGTACGTGTTGAGAGTTATCTCGCACGTCTGGAAAGCGAGGTGGAGGCACAAAGCGCCCGTCTCCGAGCATGCGAGCATCGGCTTGATCGGTATTCCCAACGGTCTCGGGATACTGATGAGTATACACGCCAAAAGGTGGGTCAAATACAAGAAGACATGACGAGCTGGACGAATCAGCTGATCGACCACACTAACGACACCAACATTCACCTTCGACCTGCAGCCGACCCGCACAGGCCGACGGCAGTGTCCGCCGAAGCACCACAAGCTTCAGCAGGACAACAACGACGCACATCTCCAGGAGCAGCCTCCGCGGCAGCTTCTGCACAGACACGCCATGTGTCTCCTGTGCGCACAGAACCAACCATCGACGGTGCACCGATACCCTCACAGCCAGCGTCTGCGGTGTCGGTCCATACTACGACGCCTATCAAGGAGTCAGACACCGTCCGTGTACCTGTCTTGCCTAAGATCACGCAGCTGCTGGAGTGGCAGCAAAGAGTGCGGAAGAACTTCGGGGCCGCCTCAGGGCGACCATCCAAAGCATACGCCTTCCTATGCGTGGCAGAACAACCCGAATGTACATTCGAGGATTTACAAGACAGTGGAGACTTTGAGAGCATCGATTGCAAACTCGCAACCGCTCTGAGCGACATCTTATCCTCAGACTTACGCTA